GGGGGGGAGGATTTAAATGCGCAGTCGTTTTTTGTGCTGAACTGGGTTGTGAAAAATACTGTCAAGGTTCCTTCCAAACTATCGTCCCATGATCTGGGATTTGATAAAACATACAAATGGACAGCAAGTGGCAACTGAGTTGATTCGTAAGAATTAAAATGCCCCCCCAAAAGTCTTATATTGTGTAGATTCACTTTTATGTGGCAGAAAATGTTTACAACACAGAAGATCATTCAGTCCACTGTGTCTATTTGGTGCTAACTCCCCACCATGGGAGCTTTCCACTAATCTTATTGAAATATTTGTGAAAACAAAATCAAGCTCTGATATCCCACCTGCTCACCAAACAATAACACCGGACAGCATTCAAACCTGATAGAGCTACAACAACAACAACGTGCATTTATATAGCGCCCTTCCTGCAGGGCAGCGTCTTGGATCGCTTGATGTGACTGGCTATAGTGACTGGCATTGAAATTTCTCGCCCTCTGCTAATTACGCAGTGCCTTAAGATCTGTGATCCTTCGAAAGTCTGCTCTCCCCCAAGAGTGATACACGTATGAAGGTGAATGATGTGTGGATTAAAGAATAATTAATGGTCGGGGGTGGGAGTGGGGAGGGTTCCACCATATCTGACTGAACAGATTTCACCTTTGTGCTTCTTTCAATGCCAAGGTTAAACCATCATCAATCAATATAGCCCGAGATGTTTTGAAACCTGGACGTTTTCAATGGAGTTATTGTTCATCAGAATGATTAATTTAGCATTCATTAGCTTTACCTTGGGGTTTGCAAAGAAACATGGCCTACTTTTCCTCCTGTTTTCCAAAATAACATTTGATGTCCTTGAGCTGCTCAAACCTTATAACTTCCAGTTCAATGGAGAACGTCTCAACGGGGAGTAATAATAATAATGAGAAGTAATAATAATAATTCTTGCATTGGATACAGCATCTTATCACGCCGTCAAGACGTCTCAAAGCGCATCACAGGATTTTATTGTGAAGACTGTGTATTTATGGCGAATGTGGCCGCTAATTTGTGCATAGCAATGTCCTACGAACAGCCATGAAATGAGGCGATCATTCTTATTTGATGGAATGGAAGGTTTCACGTGGCATGTTGAGTAAAGGTCGAATAAAGGTTGACTGCAGTACCTTTCTAACTCAAGAGCTTGCCCACACTTACTGTCAAGTAAGTGACAGTAAGTGTGTCTTCCTAAATTCAATCTTAGTTTGGAAGCTTGTTTTCTGCGGTTTTTAAAAGGAAAAGAGCTTGTGCACTAAGACAGAATTTAAGAATTTCCCGCAATCCTGTACGATCTTAAATTTTAAGATAAAATGGTTTTACTGAGGTGAGACGAGGTGTAATCTTGGATTGAGATACAGTGTTTGTATTTGAGCAGGTGCCAGAAAAATCACTTCCATCCAGCAGTCAAACTAATTTCACTGTATGAGTCATAAAATACCTGGACACTGATCCCTATATAACTCAGCATTATCTGTACGTAACATGTTGTCACGGTCACTGCTGTAATGATGATTAGTGTCTGAATAACTTAACTCGGGTTTACATTACCAAAGAATAATCGCTTTACATGACTGCTTCACTTTCCTTTGGCTCAGTGTTTGCACAAAGAACACATTATGAGTCTCCGGGGGTTGTTCACAGTCTATAACTAAAACAGAGGTGTTATGAATGGATCCTTATGGAAGTCTTGAATTCTAATTCCCACTGTAACTTTTAGTTGGCAACTAAAACTCTGAAACGTTCGACCCAAAAAAAACCATGTCATGTCGTTGTGATGCTACCATAACCAAGAAGTTATAGCAATTCATAGAATCACAGAAATAGCATGGAAGCAGGCTATTCAGTCCATTATGCTGTTAGCTCCTCCACTATCTGACTGAACCCAGTTCTCTGCTCTTTACCTACACCCTTTTATATCGTTTCTCTTCAGACGTTTATCCAAACAGCCCTTAAATGTTGTTATCCTAATCTTTGCATTTGAAATAGTACCTTATCATTTTTGTTGGAACATCGCTAGGTGCTTTACAAGATTTATTGTAAAGTGTAATGACTATGTTTGTGGGAGAATGTGGCAGCCAGTTTGTGCACAGTGATGTACCACGAACAGCCATGAAACGAATGACCAATTGTATCTGGGAAATTATTGACCAGGACACCGGGAGAAACTTCCTTCTAAAGTACGGTAAGTTTCCAATGATGTCTTCATAGCCACTTTGTGACAAAGCATTTAATGTTTCAAATTTTCAACCAGCCCTCTCCTCCCAACTCTTCCCAAGGCAATCCTAAATGTACTAAGCTTCCACTATTTATCTCTCCAAACCATCCAACCACTTCAAAGCCACTGTTTAGGTCCATGTTATCGGTATCATGCAATTTAGGAGCAACGTGTATTTCTATGGCAACAGGATGCATTGTGATTGAAAACATTACGAGGAATGTTTACTCCTTGAAACAAGGAAGTCTGGACTCCATCATCCAGGATGTATGGGAGATGACCCAATGAATCCCATAATTGTTCCAGGATTTGCTTTCAGAGATTGGAGAGAAGAATGCACACAACTTGGCTCCAGGAGTCCACAATCCGACACTAAGTAAGCAGTTTCTGTGTTCTTTAATGATTAAGAAAATGGGTGGAACTGTTATTTTTATTACGTATTTGTATTTTTACCACGGTGCAAAACAATTTTATTCAATGACACAACGTGTTGTCAGGCCACAGAATTAGCAATTGGCTGCCGCGTTTCGTCCACAAAATACACAATCTACTTCACAGTATATTCTTTGAAGAGCGTAATGATGTCTCAATGATGGGATAAGGTGCTATATCAAATGCAAGGATTATTATTTTAGCTCCAAATGTACTTGTCACCCAGGATTAGCTGATGAGAAGAACCCTCCACAGAACTGTCTGCCCAGGGAATAGAAAGATGCTGATCTCCTGCGGCAGGAGACTTCAGATTCTGCTCGTGTAAGCCATCCAATTCAGTTTGCCTTTGCACCGAAGGCCAAAGCAAACAAAATTACAATCTGAAAAACCATTTGCTTTGCCAGGTGAAACCATCGACAAATACAGATGATGAAACATACTGAACCTCAAGGAGGGAGAATGGCAACCCAATTAAAATTAACATTCCTCTTGTTGTCACGAGTTTAACGTTAACATTCCTGGAGTCTAAAAACGATACACAAAGAAGCAATAGCTATTTTGCATGTGCGTAGTTGGAAGGTGTGCAATTTTTAGGGGTTACACTTGAGAATCATGACTGTTTTTGAGTCATTAACTCAAAGAGAGTGCAGAATACCATCTAGTGGGACTACACAGTACTACATATTGTAATATTTTTATTGTCTTGACTTGCCTCGTTCGTTATTAACTCAATCCATGCATTTGGTACAGCACCTTGTCAAGTCATTGACAATTCTCAAAAGGCTTCACAGGAACTTTTGCTCCTCCGGTGTCCACCTTGAACACCACACCAAAAGCAAATTATCAAGTCAAATCAAGAGCATATTTTTACAGCGTGTGCAAAGACAATTTATGTATTCGTAGCTGATGGTTGGGAGGTCCTGGTGTGTTGGGGGCTCTATGAAACTTTGCAGTGAGGTTTAGTCAGTATTTAAGATGGAAAACGTTAACAGTTGGTCTGGGTATTTGGCGCACAAAGGAACCTCTGTGTGAGGCACTCTGAGAACATGAGGATTGAAAGCTGTGCCAACGTATTTGATAAATAACCTAAAAGTTAAACAAGCCGGTGTGGCAGTGAATCATTCAGGATTTATTAGATTGGTGGCTGTAACGGTGTAAGTATTTTTAAAAAATCCTTGTGATCTATAGGCCGATAAAACAGTGATCTGTGCCAGCCACTTGTGCCCATAGACAGTCACGAGACGAGATGAAAGCTGATAGAAATTCCCTTTTTTTTTAATAGTTTCATGGGATCTTGAGTGCGCATCTGAATAGCTGTCAGTCATGACCTTGGCTTAATGTCCCAACTGACAATGTGGTGCTCCCCGCTAACAATGATATTGTCCTAGAAACCGTACTTGGGATCCTTGGTTCCGTTCGTTTTGGATTCCAAAGTGAGATTCGAACCCACAACAATTGGTTTTATTTCAAGTAACATGGAATTCACTGGAGGGAATAGAGTGGTAACAAGAGTGGGGATTAGGGTGTTGTGGAGGCACGGACAGGCTGGGCTTAAATGGTCCGTTTCCACCCGCGCTGTACTGTAATTCTATGAAAGACACAATTATTTTCCTGGTCAGCAAATCTCCCAAATAAATTTGGTCGCTCACTCCACGGCGATCTGAGGGACATTACAGTGCGCGATTGGGATGCCCAGTTTCGCCTACGGAATAAACAGTCGAATCCACTTTACAATAAAATCCTGCGAGGCGCTTCGAGACATTACAACGACGTGACGAAGGACTTGTAACCAAATGCAAGGATTGTTAGTAGTAGTATTTATGACTAAGATGACGACGATGTGTTTCGCTTTCCAATCCGCAGTCACTGCACTTTTCAGAAAAGCGCTTTGAGGCATTCTGGACACTGCCTCAAATAATAATACCAACAATAATAATACTTGCATTATATATATCGTCTTAATCACGTCGCTGAGACGTCTCAAAGTGCTTCACAGAATATATATATATATATATAAATTCTATATATATATATAATCACATATATATTATATATATCATCCTGGACACGGCATCAAATAATAACAATAATCCTTGCAATTTGATACAGCGCCTTATCGTGTGGCTGAGAATGTAGTGAAATAGTAATGGGAATAATAATCATCATCATCATAATAATAATAATAATAATCTGATTGAGACTGTGAGGTGGAGGTGAAGAGGTGAAGGGAGAGCCTAGGAACCAAAGTGAGCGGAACCAAAGATCCCGGGGACCAGTTTCCCCCCGGACAGGAGACGGTGTGGCTCAGGCGCCTCGTTCGTTCGTTCGTTCGTTCATCGTCGCCGCCGCCGCCGCCTCTTTGCTTCGTGAGTCGCAGACGTCTGTCGGTTGGCGAGAGGAGGAGGAGGGGAGGGTGGGCCGACGCCGGGGAGGGTCGGGGGATGACGGGCCGGGTAACTGAGGGCAGCGGCGGCGGCGCTCTCTCCCTCCTTCCTTCCCTCCCTCCTTCCCTCACTCCAGGGCCCGGGCTCTCTCCTCAGTCGCGGGGGCGCCATCTTTCCCGCCCCCCCCGCGCGCCCCGCCCCGCCCGCGCGCCCCGTCCGTCAATCCCGGCGGCCAATGGGGAGCGCGTCACGGAGCTGACGGGCAGGTCCGACGCGCTCCCCATTGGCCCGTTCGTCAGGGGTCGGGTCCCGCCTCCGGGCAGACCGGTGGCCAATCAGCGCTGGGGGCCGAGGCCTCTTTTTTGGCCCCTCCCCCTCCCCTCCCCCTCCACCCAACAGATTGTTTTAAATGACCATTGAAAAGAGCAATCGAGACCCGCGTTGCAAATCGTTGTTTTGTCTTCTTCTTTTCTCTCTCTCTCTCTCTCTCTTTCTTTCTCTCTCTCACAACAACAACAACAACGACGACCACAGCAGCTTCTGTCAACATGTTCCTCACCAGATCCGAATATGACAGGTCAGTCAAAGGGGAGAGGGTGGGGTTTGCGTGGTTTTGCTTTGTCATGTTATATCGAGGGCCTCTTTTTTTTCTCCCCTCCTCCCCCCACTTCCTGGTTACACGACAACCGCCTCCGCCGCCGCCACAACAACAACAACAACTTGGGTGGCGTCTCGGGAGAGCGCTTCGCGGAGACGTATCCCGGGCCCGGAGGGCGGAGGGGGGGGGGCGGAGGGCGGAGGTGGGGGGGGGTGACCAAAGGGGCGGTCGTAAAAAGAAATAACAATGACGATAGTAATCCTCGCGTCGTGGCGCACAGCGCTTTTCGCGTCGGGAGGACGTTCCCAAAGCGCTTCACGGAACGCGCTGTAAAGCGGATGGACTGTGCGTTAAAGAAAGCGCACAGATTTAGTGCTTTCCGCCGACGCGCGCGCGAGGGCGCACACGTCGTCGTCGTCGGGAGCTTTAAATATTTCACAGTGCGTGTGCTTTTTTTTTGCTTGAATCTGTCTGGATTGTTAATGAACCTTCCCCCCCCCACCCACCACTCCCGCTTTCATTGGAGTGGAGTTAGACACTGCGATCGTTCTCCTCGCACTGCTGACTTTTGGTTTCGTTTTTCTAAGGGGAGTCAACACGTTCTCTCCCGAGGGCAGGTTGTTCCAGGTGGAATATGCCATCGAGGCAATTAAGGTATTCGTGCAATTGTAATTGCGATTTGCCGGCATTCGTAAATTAAGTCTTTAGTTTCTGTTATAGTTATAGTCGTCGGTGATGCACAGAGAAGGTTTGTGGGGTGGTACAGTGGATAAGTATGCTTAATGCTTCTTTTTTTTAAAGGTTAAATAAAAACTGGCAATACATTGCAAGCAAAATGCTACGATTTCCAAATGGTTAAGATTTTTGTGAGTTGTGTACCCGGTGGGCACTTACTTGTACATTCCCATCATTTTATTCTACTTTTATTCATGTGAAATAAAGTTCACAGTTGCTATGAATTGTATACATGGTTCGTATTTTTTTTTTCGGCAGATTTTTTTTCACGGGTAATAATAGCACAATTGTTTTCTTTCTGCTCCTGTAGTTGGGTTCCACAGCGATAGGAATCCAAACAGCCGAAGGAGTTGTTCTCGCAGTGGAGAAGCGAGTTACTTCGCCCCTGATGGAACCTAGCAGCATTGAGAAGATTGTGGAAATTGATGCTCATATTGGTTAGTACGCTTGGAAGAAGAAAAAGTGCCATGATCGATTCGCAGTTTTGTTTATGGAGCTTTTATTCTTTGAGACTTGTTAAATAATGAATAATTGTAAATAAAAAGAAGGTATGAACAGCAGGGAAGCGTGTTCATTTAAAAATTTTCAAACAAAGTGACAAATTGTTGACAGTTGCTTTCGATGTTGAAATGCTGTTTTGAAAAACACTTTTACAAGGAAAATGTTCTACCAAATTAAATGCTCCAAACCCACGACACAACCATTTGTTCGACTGTCTCATCATAATGTTGCTTTGTTGCTAGGTTGTGCAATGAGTGGATTAATAGCTGATGCCAAAACCCTAATTGACAAAGCAAGAGTTGAAACACAGGTTGGTGCTTCCAAGATATATTAGTAATGAAATTAATTCATAAAACAGTCATAAAATTGTGGTTTATTGTTTTCCTGAACAGGATAATTTCACTTTGTAATATAGATTAACAGAGTACAGTGTTACAGTCACATTATATCTCACTTGAGTTAACACATTGTAGCAGTTATTTATTCAGCAGTTATGTATTTAACTTGAGAAAGTCTGCTAATGGATCCCATCTGCCCATCTTGCCTAGATAGTCTTTTTTTGTTGCGTTGTTCCAGAAGACATCTAACAACTATGGAGCTTTCAGCTCCTTGTCTTCTCATATCCATTTCCAAGCAGGGACACTGCTTAGGGATCAGATGGAGCCCTGGCTGTTTTGCCCTTCATTAACCCATAAGTGTTTAAGGCTATTTGTATATCACGGCTCTGTTGAGCTCAACTAACTCAAAGCAGACTGAGATTCAAAGCAATGAAGTGTGTCTGCTAGACTCTGGTGATAAGTTTGCTTAGTAAGCCATCGGGAAGGCTGTTACCATCTTGTGAATATCAGTCTTTGTACAAAGAAAAGTGAGAGTTTTATTTAAAGAAAACATTCATTTGCAATTGTGATTGACAGCATCTGTTGTGTCTGGGGCGCTATATAAATGCAAGCTGTTGTTATCGGATATCTTTAAACAACTTAATATTTCATTCCAAATATTCCTAACAACTAACTCAGGTTAGTCTATAAATGTATAGTATTTACTTGAACTTTTATTGTTTGGAGAAAACTCAGTCTTGCTCTTGTTCTTGACCTAGAATCACTGGTTTACCTATAATGAAAATATGACGGTGGAGAGTGTGACGCAGGCTGTATCTAACCTGGCCTTGCAGTTTGGTGAGGAGGATGCGGACCCTGGCGCGATGGTAAAACCTTCAGTTACTCTGTTCGATATGTGTTATCCTGTAAAGTGCTCAGAGACACTTCGCCCTCCTGTGTGTTAGGTGCTGTGTGAGTACACTCAATCCACGACTGTTTGTGGAACTGTTGGCTGCTGCCTTTCGCCCGAAAAGTACACAGTCAATCCACTTTACAGTATATCCTGTGAAGCACTTTGAGACGTCTCAGTGACGTGATAAGGCACTATATCAAATGCAAGGATTATTATTATTTCGAGCAACTATTTTGACATGTTTGTTCACTTCACTAGTAGATCTCAAAATCCAACATAAATAAGATGTTTTCTATTTAAAAACTTAAAGTGCAACATTTTAACATGTAAAATCCGGTAACTTTCGTAGGTTGAACTCTAAAGCAGTTTATCTGGTTACTGCTTTATTAAGTTTCTTGTGCAGCTATTGTAAATTGTTGTACGTTTTTATTTTAAGAGCCGACCTTTCGGTGTGGCATTGCTGTTCGGTGGAATTGATGAAAAGGGACCACAAATGTGAGTAGAATGTTTCTTTCCTGTTTTGTTTTTGATACAGGTTTATATTTTAATAGGGTCGCAATTATTATGTGTCGGCACTCTTGCTTCTGAATCAGAGGTTGTGGGTTCAAATCCCATGATGGGACTTGAACTTGCATCATCTAAGCTGACGCTCCAATGCAGCACTGTGGGTGTGTGTTGCGTTGTCGGAGGTGCTGTCCTTCAGAAGAGATCTTAAACCGAGATCTCGTCTGTCTGTTCAGGTGGTCGTTAAAGATCCCATGGCACTATACAAAAAGAGAAGGGAGTTTCTTCGGTGTCCTGTCCAGCAAACCCCCAAATAAAATAAAAATTGCTCACTCATTCCATGGCTGTTTGTGGGACGTTGCTGTGCAAACAAATCCTAACCTCTCCCTCTGTTTTCGTTGATAATTGAAATAGGTTTTACAACAACAACTTGTATTTATATAGCACCGCACAAGCAGGCTAGAGTCTCATACTGGTTTCTGTTTGAACGACTCTTATTAACCCTTCATCAGATAATGGACTCTTGCTAAAAATCGACCTGGTGCTACCATAGTAAATCCAGACTGAGTTGAATCATAGTGAATGTTCCTGAGCATGTTCTCCAAATAATGTCGTTTTAATGCAGAAGTTGAACGTCAGGAGGTTGAACATTTTGTGTAGCGGGATCAATGTGATCCCAACCCCTTTCCACCCCATTTCCAGTTGCCTGAAATCCCATGCATCTGATAATGTAGAAACTTTTAATTGCCTCTTCAAGTCTCTTCACGGAATTAATAGCCTTTTCAAGCCTCAACACAGAATAAATATATTATTCACTCTGTGAAGCGCTTTGAGACATTTCAACGGCATTATAAGGTGCTCTATTAAATGCAAGTATAATTGTTATTTTATTATTGTAATTATGAACTTGATAATTCTTGTGCAGGTATCATATGGATCCATCTGGGACCTTTGTTCAGTGTAGCGCAAGAGCAATTGGTTCTGCTTCGGAGGGTGCCCAGAGCTCTTTACAAGAAGTTTATCGCAAGGTAATAGGATTGTACGTCATTGAGTGAAAATACTATGCAAAAAAAAAAGCGCGATTGATGAGACAATATTGACTATTTGGTTGAAGAGTTCGTATAATCTGAATTTCATCTTCAATTTCAGTCGATGACACTAGAGGAAGCAAAGAAAGCCGCGCTCATCATCCTAAAACAAGTAATGGAAGAAAAACTGAATGCCACCAATATTGAGGTAAGGGAGTTCAGAAGAAATGAACTAGCAGTTAACATGTCAACTAGGATCAATCATCATTCGTGAATAGATGAAGATTACATTTTCCTCACACTGTATTCCAGCTGAGAAGTGGGCAATGATCTGGGTGACTGGAGTTTTATTGTAAACTACTGTGATTCTTGATTGTCTAACCTAACCTGTTAAACTTGAGTATAATTCCTGCTTTAGTTATTGCTAAACTTTATGATAAATATCTAGCTTTCCACTCCTCTGGATGAGTTTTCTAATGAATAATTGAACCTAAGGAGTAAAGTGATGACTTCTTTGTCCAAGTCTTTGGTGAGTTAAGCTTATTTACAGCCAGGTAGCAGCAGAGGTACTAGAATTAGCTTCAGTGTCCTGATCGTATCTCCATTCACCCACACCTGCTAGAGGTGAGTGTTGTGTATGTGAAAACCTTGTGTGAGGACTTGGTTTGCTGTGGCTACAATGTCCTTGCTGACAAATAGTCTGGCAACACTTGCTATCAAGACTTCACACATCAATAATGGCCACTTGAATAACTGGAACTCATATCACAGTAGGATAAAGGAGTCAAAGCCATTTAGGAAAGGGAATCAAAGGAAATGTGGGAGGAGTGCGGGGAAGGGGGAGGAATTCAGTTTTGAAGTAAAATGGCTTCAATCCAATCTGGGCAAAAAATACTTTTTATGTATATTATATATGTGTGCATACATATATATTGAGCTATACAATGCTTCTAGAGTTTGTTCGATATCCCAAATGTTTTTGTTTTGTAGCTTGCAACAATGGAGCCTTCAAAAACGTTTCACATGTACACAAAAGAAGAACTGGAAGAAGAAATTAAGAAAATCTAAAAAAAAAGTGAATTTGGCCGGAGGCCTGGGGCGCAGATTGAAACTGTATTAAAGTTTCTTGTTGTGTAGACAGTTTTGTTTCACAGAATAAAGGTTATTTTATTGTAGCTATGAGCAATTCAACGTATTTTTTTTGTTCTTGCACAGATTACGTCGGTTACTTTTATCTCCATTGTTATCTGTGATTTGATAGATAACTGACAATTGCTATGAATCAAATTAAGCATTTTGTTACTTGCACTGCATCAATAAACTCTCATTTTTAACTTTTACAGATGCAATGTTTTTATGTCTCTGCACTAAAAGGAACAAACCGTTAAAATTCAGGTAAACTTCGTAAGTCCATTAAACAACAACAAATAACATTTGTATAGTGTCTTTGACTTCGAGAGGACATCCCAAGGCACCAGATAGTTAGGGATTTGGCCCGAGCTGAAGCCTTGACCCTTGCTGTAGATCTTATGATGGATGCGGAGCTGAACCTGTGTTTTTCCCTTTGTCTTTTTGTTTAGTGAGTGAATGACGTTACAGTGTGCTTGGTATCGGGCCAATGGATTCAGGGTCATGGGTATTCATTGCACTGTTGGGTTCGGCAACTGTTCCTGACAATGTGATCAACACTCCCTAAGTGAAAGGGGAAATGGACCAAAGAGAAAGCTGTGGAAGTTTCAACTAACGATTGCTTTGTTCATTTTTTTTTCAAAGGCTTTTCCTTTGTGGAAAGTGGTTTGTGATGTAAATTAAAACACAGACCTACGATAGTAAATCTGCAACACAGGTTGCCAAAATGAATGGGAGGCCTCTACATTATTCTGTTGAACATTAATTTTTCACGTTGAAGCGAATATTCTATTAACCTTCAACTTGACAGACGTCCACCTTCTCTTGGGCTCTTATATTTGCAGCATAATATTTTTCTGAGTGTTTTCGGAAACAATGATAAGCCACAGTGTTGTTTTTTTAACTTCCTATTTTTACTCTCTGAACTTGTTTTGTTCGGTTCGTTACAAAAATAGCTTCCAAAAGGGGCAGACGTACTCTGATCGCTCGCGTATTCTTGCAAGAGCAGGTCATNTTTTTTTTTTCCATCGCAATTTATTGCAGTGAAACATCCTGCCGGTAAAAGAAGTTCTACGTAACCCAACCGCAGGTGAGGATGATGCAGCCGGAAAGAAATGGAGGTCCTACGGTGCCGACGCCTTCATTACGTTGCTCTCGGCAGATTTTTCGTTGACGTTAGGCGTAAGAACGCAAGATTTAGGCCGGAACGCCGGGCGTTTGTCCATCCCCGAGAAGCAAAATCAGACCTTTTGTGCCGCGCGACTCGTCGTGCGAGAACTGTATGGAGTGGAACTATGTGAGTCCTGTAGCTCAGTGGTTAGAGCACTCGCTTTGCAAGTGAGAGACCTGAGTTCAATTCCAGGCAGAGGGCCAAACCTTGGGCAAGTTTCCTTACTCCACACAGAGCCTAATAATAATCCCTCCAAAACAAAACAATAATAAATTGGTCATTTTCAATCCCCGACTGTTTGTGGGACATTGCTGTGCGCAATTGGCTGCCGCGTTCGCCCACAAATATACAGTCAATTCACTTTACAGTGTGTTCTGTGAAGCGCTTTGGGACGTCCTCCCGACGTGAAAAGCGCGATATCAAATGCAATGATTATTATTATTATTATGTGACGGACGGGTGGTTAGACCAATGGGAGATGGAGACTGGGGGCGGGCGGGGCGAAGTGTGTGACGGGCGGATGGTTGGACCAATGGGAAGCCGAGAATAAGAGGGGCGGGGCGAAGTACGTGACGGACGAGCGGTTGGTTGGACCAATGATGCAGAGAATACCGCGTGACGGACGGATGGACGGATGGACAGGTGGTTGAACCAATAGGAGATGGGAGTGAAGTGAGAGGGGCGGGCGGGCTGTATGACGGACGGGCGGCTGAACCAATACGAGATGGGAGTGAAGGCGGAGCGTGCGAGCTGTATGACGGATGGGCGGCTGAACCAATAGGAGATGGGAGTGAGCGAGAGGGGCGGGGCGGGCTGTATGACGGACGGGCGGCTGAACCAATAGGAGATGGGAGTGAGCGAGAGGGGCGGGGCGGGCTGTATGACGGACGGGCGGCTGAACCAATAGGAGATGGGAGTGAGCGAGAGGGGCGGGGCGGGCTGTATGACGGACGGGCGGCTGAACCAATAGGAGATGGGAGTGAAGGCAGAGGGGCGGAGGCGCGGCGGGCGAGCTGTATGACGGACGGGCGGCTGAACCAATAGGAGATGGGAGTGAAGGGAGAGGGGCGGGGCGGGCTGTGTGACGGACGGGCGGCTGGACCTATGGAGAAGGAGGAGGAGTACGGGGGGGGGGGGGGGGGTCTCGCGGGCGGGCAGTTGGTGAGGGGGCGGAGGGAGAGGGGCGGGATTTCCGGGCGGCTGGCGCGGGGCGGGTTGTAGGCGTCGCTCGCGAGCTCGTCGGCCGTCGTCGTCGTCGTGTTGTTGTGGTGGTGGTAGTGGTGTTGGTGAGGAGGAGAGCGCAGGAACGTAAATAACAAACCGACAGCAGCGCAGCGGAGAGGAGTCTCTCCGGTGGGGGGTTTTTTTTTTTTTCTTCCCTCCGCTCCCCTCAGGGATCTCCGCCTGTGCGTGAGGGAGAGAGGGAGAGGGGGTGAGGACTGGGGTGAGAGAAAAAAAAATGGTGAACGCCGCGGCCCTGCACCGTCTCCTGCTGTTGGCGCTCCTGCCTCTGGCTCTCGAGGCGCGGCCCCCTCAGCTCTCTTACCACCACCGGCGGCGGCGGCGGCAGGTCTCGGGCGCCGGGCCGACGGACAACCGGAGCCCGTGGGGGGTCTCGCTTCGCAGACTCATCCCCCCTCCGGCTCTTCCTCACCCCCTGCACAAGAGGGACCTGTCGCCCCCCTCCTCCTCCTCCTCCCCCCCCTCCCCCGCCGGCGGCACCTGCAAGACCACCAACGGCTTTCAGACCAATTTAACAGCCCACACCGACAAGGTGGGTGGCCAAAGCTTATATATAAAAATATATATTAATAATAATAATAATAATAATTGGGTCGTTAATAATTGGAGTGTGTCGGGGGGAGGGGTGGGGGGGAGGGTTGTTGTTGGGAGGCGCCTCGAAAGCCGTGACGAGGCGGGATGTCGGGTTTGTGAACGAATAATAAATAATATTAATAATAATAGGAATCATAGGAATAGCAATCGGAATCGATGCGAATAACCTGTGCCTCCGGTATTGGCGGGGGGGGCGGGTGGTGGGGGGCGGGGGTGGGGGGCCCCGCACGAGACGTACCGCCGAGCCGCGGTCACGGGAATGTCCCGGGGGTTGGGGGGGGGGGGGGGGGAAGCGCCCTGAGGCGCTCTCGACCGCCGGCGCGTGGTAAGACGCCGATCATTGACACCGAGCAGCGATCGGGTGGGGTCGGGTCGGGGTCGGCCCCGCGCGGGGTCAAATCTCCTTTGGTTCCTGATTTATGCCGTCAAGCGAGAAATATTCGATCGAGGGGGAGAGGGAGGGGGAGAGGGAGGGCACTCCAGTGCTGCGGGACACCAATTTGCCACCACCCGACAACAGCACCTTTTCACGTCGGGAGGACGATATCCCGAGTCCCGCACTGCGCTTCCAAGTGAATTCCGTCGAGAGCGCTTTTGGATCGGATCCCTCCATTGACTCCCTGTGGGTTTTTACGGTGGTCGCTTTACAAAGAGAGCCCCCAACAACACACTTACCTGCGTCGACTTTCCCCTCCTGTGTGCCAACTGCTTTGAGTTCATTTTGGCCCTGCGCCGGTTTTTGTAGATCCTCGTCTTATTCCGGGCTTCGCTTTGTTGAGGAACCACTTTGCTAACGTGATTGATGATAATAATAATAATAATCATAATGATCATAATAATAATAAACCCGTGCATTTTGCATCGCGCTTTGCATGGCTGACGGGTGTGGTGCTCCGCTTCACCGGGATATGTTGTCAATTATTGTTTGTTTTTGTAAGCAAATGAAGCAACCGGTTTGCCCAGGCCACGTGTCACGAGCAGCCGTGAATGACCCGTGCGTGTGTTTTTTTTTAAAAAAAAAGAGTCATCGGTTTGGAATCCATATTGAAAAATGAAGGCGCAAATGTACGGTTTAAATGGCCAAGTCCAGAGATTGTGTGTTTTTTTTTTAAAAAAAGTTTATCGTCAAAGCTGCGTTCCTCTTAAAGTGTTCTGTGAACGCATGTATTATGCGGTGTAATTGTTTGCTTCCCTTTGATTGCGCTCTGGGTGTTTGGAAATGGAAGAAAGCTGAAATTGCGAGACTGTTAAAGGATGCTGGGAACTTGAATCTGTTCTCCTTTACGCAAGGAGAGCATAAATGCTCCCAATGTTGGATTCTGTTTCAAAGCAGAGCCCGAGTTTATTGGAAAGGTCATCAGCACTGGTAGTTACTGAATAATGCCAAATATGTTGGGGAGAATTGGGTTGTTTAAACAGAGTCATACCGTTTGTGGCCAAAGAAGAAGAATCTGATATTCCGGTTAAACGGCTAAGTTGTCTTAACATGTAGGAGCGCAATGTTAAAACCGCAAATGCCTAAAGGATAAAAGAGCACCCACCAGCATTTCTGCAAAAGGACGATCATTTGTGTCTGATTATGGATTGTGCCCAAATTAACATGCAGTTTCATGTTAATTTGTTCTGCTGTCAAAATTAACCTACATAAGATGCAACTCAAGGGCACTTGACCATACGTTTTATGTTATGTTAACCTTGTATCACTACTTGGGTCACATTTTTCTCTTGTAATGTCTTCTTTTAGCTTCAGCTTTTAACAGTATTTAGGGATGCAATTATGTGTTGTGGGCTTCAGCGTAAAGATTTGCAAATCCAACTTGTGCATGGTGTAAGCACTTATTTTATTACTTGTATCCCAAAAGTGGGCACGGGTAAAGTGAGCAAAGCATAACATCATCTTCAAAGTATAAAGGAATTTATTTCTAATACTGGGGGCAAAATTATTATTTCCACGCTTACAGAATCCTGCCACCAATGAAAGATGGGAGTGTTCCAAGTCAGAAATCCCTCGCTGAGACAAATGTCTGCTCATTTTAAAATAAAACACGAGATGTGCCTAGTGCAAAATAAAACTTGTATCTGCCTAGCACAGTGGGGATTAGTCTAAATCTTACTGATGATCCCTTTGGTTAACTTTTCTGAAAGCGAGCTACTGCCAGATGTTGAAATTCAGCCAAGTGTATGAGATATCATTTGAGATGTCCAAGTTCCCATAATAATTAATGAATCCCCAAGGATGAATACAGACCAAGGATTGGCACCACTGCCTTACACGTTAATGGGGAAAATTAATGGCAGAACTAGGTACCATTATGGTTGACCAAGTTTTAGAGCACTGTGTTCATTTCTGCTTCGAACCGGACATTACTGGATGCACTTAGAAAATCATGTCATAAGAGTTTAAAACTTTTCCAAGTCATGACACGTTTCCTTTACTTTATGGCATTCCTACGTTAGCTTTAAGTTCCTCCACTCTGGGTGATGTGTTTGAGTGTGCATCGGAACTTAAAAATAGTGCAGTTCCCAATGTTTTCTAACAGCTAAGTTTTAAGTCTGTCACGTGTCAGCATTTGCATGTGGTTTGTTGTACACTCCGCCATTTCACCCCTGACTAGTAATGTTGCATCTTGACTGTATGTTTTAAATGAATGCCCCAAATTTTCATATCATCAACAATACAATCCAAACATTCTCAAAATATGGCAACTTTGGATCTTGCCAATGACGAATTATCAAACTGGGTTTTGAATTACTGTCGCAATAATAGCTGAAACTGCGCCAGTATCTCTGTGTTTGAGGCTCAGTTTGAATCTGTAATACATTTAGTTTAGCGGATGTAATCACATTGCAAAAGCATCTGTTGCGTTATGATGAAAGATGAATTAACGAATTGAGCTATTTTAGCTTTTTAGCTTGTATCCAACCAGAAATATCCGTGTATCAAACTTACCAGCTCCAGTTTGAGGTGGACTTTCTTTTGTGTCCACTCACCATGAACAAAAAGCTACCCATTCGTATACAAAATAATTTGTTACTGCATGTACAGCCTCCGATAGCTTTTTTTTACTTATTAAAGAAAATTTAAGAGGGCATTTATGATAGTGATCTGAAATTGCTGTTCCTTTATAGCATCATAAGTTTTAAATGCTCCTAAAAGTTTTAAAAATATAAACTGTGTTCAAGATTAATGCATTCTTGAGTGAAAGCTTCATAACCCTTATTTATTATAGGATTGTTCCACGTATTGGCAATAAATTTGTTATGCTATGTAACCTTTATTTGGACATACAGATGTACAGTGATCTTTCTGTTTGGTACTTTTTTTGATCTAAGTAATTGTGATTCATCTGGGTTAGGAGATTGTTCTATTAAAGTGGAAAGGCGTGGAGTCGTGTAGCTCAGTGGTTAGAGCCCTCGTCTCGCAAGCGAGAGACCTGGGTTTAATTCCTGGCAGGGCGAAACTTTGGGCAAGTTTCCTTACTCCACATGCCTGATAATAATCCCTCAAGAAAAAAAACAAAAAGAAATTGGTCACTTTAATCCAAGACTGTTTGTGGGACACTGCTTGCCCAATTGGCTGCCATGTTTCCTCCACAAACATGCAGTTAATTCACTTTACGGCATAGTCTGTGAAGCACTTTGAGACATCCAGACAACGTCTCATGAAAAGTGCTATGTCAAATGCAAGGTTTATTATTATTTAGTATAAAGTTCTATGATAAAAGTTCTCAAAGGGTGTAGATAAAAATAATCCTTGCTTGCCAGCCAAAAAGATTTGAAGTTTCTTGTTTCTTTGCTGAATTGAGCATTTTTTGTCCCACTTGTTTTATTTGACTGTATAACAACGTATTGCATGAGTGTTTATTTTTCAAGCATACAATATTGTATACTGTAGATAATCTGTCCAAATTCTAAATGTCAGCACTTAATTTAGTTAAGCCACATGCTTGCCTTATCTGTGGCCAGATATTGAAGTGGAACAGCATAGAAAAATGACAGATTGGTAATCCAAATACTTATTTAGCAGAACAGATGATACAGTACTTAAATTCTATTCAATCAAAGATTCATGTTCTGGTTCACACCAGGTATATAGCTGTTTAAAATAAATATGGTGCATTTAGTAAGCTATAGTAAACTAGATTATTTTTTGTAAAGATAAATTCACAAATGTACCATTGTGTTTAACAGTCAAAAAATGTTGCTTCAGAATCAACATGTTTAATAGTGGTAAAACACAAGTTCTGCTTTGTAATTTCGAATTAACATTTTTATTTTTCAGTATGAATTTGTGGATCTGAGTGGATCTGTAACCTTGGCTTGGGTTGGGGATGGGACTGGTGTAAGTATTCGGCATAATCTCTATTTTGCTTTTTCAGCATAGATCAGCAATCATGAAAATCATGATTGTTGGAGGGACCTTTCAAATGTTTAGTGCATTTGTACCTCGTCACATACCCCCACCTCCAATCCTATGGACACTATTTTGGCTTTTGTTTCAAACTGCCATGAAAGCTAGTGTGCAGTGTAAGATGAGCAAGCATTACACTACACAGCAGTGCTGTTAATGTGGAAACTGATCTGGTCTTGCGATAGAATCTGAGCTTTGTCTTTCTGGCTCTGACGCAATATTTTGTCTGGAGATAGTAATGATTTTATATATCCAGACGGCAGTTTACTGACCACTTTACTTCAATAATAATCAGCATAAATAATAATCTGCTCCCCTCTCTTGCTCTTGCCGGCATTTGACTCTTGTTTGTCATTGAATTATTATTTGCTGAGCACTATTCTTCTATACCTCATCTAAGTGCTAATGTCAGAGTATTGTTAGTTAGTATTGATGGGCTGTTTATCTGATCCTGTCTTTACCTACATCCATAGTTCCAGTAAGTGTGAATTGTAGCTAATTTTCTCTCTCCTTCCCCCACCCTCAAACCACAGCACCCTGAGCTTAATTTTCGTGTTTTTCGTATTGCCCCAGCTGAGATCAGCTAACTTAGCATAGGGCAAAAATTAACACATTTTTAAGTTATTTATTTAAGTTTTTTTTATTCACAGGTCCTTTTGGCTTTAACAACTTTTCAGTTGCCATTCCAAGGAATCCGCTTCGGACAGTCAAGGCTCTACAGAAGGTAATGTATGTCATAATAATAATCCTTGCATTTGATATAGCACCTTATCACGTCTTCAAGAATATACTGTGAAGTGAATTGACTGTATACTTTGTGGGTGAAACTTGGTGTTTGGTCTTTTCTCCCGTCTTTGGTTCCCATCCTCTCTGTCAATCCCCTTTTTTATTTCCCATCATCTCAACCTGCTGCCTTCATTATGCCCATTATTGTGAAAAGAAATCTTAATTTTTCTTTCAGTCAGTATAAAGCAAATAGTTTCACATGACTTAAATTCTGAGTTACTACTATTCAAATAATCCTTGCTCTTGATATAGTGCCTTATCACATTGAAACGTCTCAACATGCCATTGGAAACCCAGTACTTGCAATGTTCTAGTTGCTGCATTCAAAATAAAACTTTGGTAATATTTTATTTGTTAATATTTTTCTTTCAGTGAGAATTATGGAAAGAACTTTACCGATGTGACGCAACTCATCAATAACACCTTCATTCGCACGGAATTTGGAATTGCTATTGGCCCAGAGAACTCTGGCAAGGTAAAACGTTTTCTTTGTTAGTATATTCACTGACTATCTATGAAATTCCAGTATATGCAATTGCTGTTGCAGCATTTTTCCATGGGATTGACTTAATCTGGTGTTCATGTTCTTAAACTGCTGATTGGTGCAGATATAGATGGTCCTTAAATTGTTCTTTAAACATCATTCAAAAGTGATGAAATTCCTTTTTTTTAATAATGAAACTCTCTTCCTGTGACTGACCTTCAGGTAATTCTTACAGCTGATGTCTCTGGAAAGAGTGGAGGAAGGATTTTCCGATCCAGTGATTTTGGAAAGAATTTTGCCCCAACGAATCTTCCTTTTCACCCACTAATTCAAATCATTTACCATCCCACCAATTCTGAACACCTGTTAGCATTAAGCAAAAATGTAAGTATATTTAAAAATAAAACTGCTAATATGCTATTTAAACCTCAGAAGGCTTTGACCATTAGTTTTCTATTCACTGTATTGATCTCGATTGTGAATCTTATGCAGGTTCATGTAATAAAATTAGCAAGCTGCTAAAAATAAATAATAAAATTAGCAAGACTTAGCAAACAGCACAGAAACTTTTGGACTATACTTCTGAAAAGGGTCATAAGTTCCTAATAAACTAAAGTGCATAGTACTTCCTTGTTTATTCTGTTCATACCACAGGTTAGAGACAGCTTTTTAAAAAATTACTTTGCCTTAGTTGTCTGGAATGCAGGATATTAGACTGGATTTAGATTTCTTCTGAAAGACAGTCTGAAAATCGAACAGTTTAGTATTTTTATTATCAGAGATGACTCGATCGTGAGTCAGCTCAATGTGTGTGTTGTCTGTTGAGACTGCCTAAACCCCTTTTACTAGATAATTGAATTTTACAAATTATTACTCACTTGTGCTCAAGTAATAACAAAACACGTATTACTTTGAAAATGTTATGTAAATGAGTTGCAGAAAGGATCTATTGACTGTATAAGAAAATTCACAATCGGCCTATCTGTGCTGTTATTGACTGCAACTAACATTTCTTTCTTTGAACTTTTTGCAATATTCCAGAACGTTTTGTGGCTTTCCTCCAATTTCGGTGAAACGTGGAAGGAAATTCATAACTTTGTCTGTCTTGTTAAGTGGTAAGTTTAATAAAGCTTGCTTACAGTAACTTATTCATGATTATATATGTTCACAATTCAGAAACCAAGATGTGTGCTCTTTATCCTGCATCAGTGTTTGATGGCCTCCATGCTGCATAGATATAATGGAAATGGAATATATGGGGTGGGGTAGACTCCATTAATTACTCATTAATAGTTGGGGGGGAGTTCATCTTTCAGCCTTGCAATGATGTCTGCATTTAGTGCCAGCTACTTCCTGTTCATACTACTTTTTTTTAAAAAAAGCAACTGAATCCATCTGCAAAAAAAATAGTTTCTGACAGTTTTTGCAGTGAATTTCTAATTGTCTTCTTTTTAATTCCAGGGGGCCAAATGATGCAATATTCTTCACAACACATGCTAATGGCTCTTGTAGTAAGTAATACGGATACTTCACATTTAAATCTTGGCTTCTATTGTTTAGACATAATTTGCAGTCATCTTAAAGATAGCTAATTAACAATTCTACCGAGTCTGATATTAAAAGCTATACTTTGCCACTACATGAGCAAGCCAGTTGTTGAAAAACCACGTCAGATCTTTCTAGAGACAAGAAGTCTAAATTAAGAATACCCTGGAAACTGGTTACATTGTTAACCAACATCACTTTAGGAAAAACATTTCACAGCGTGGAAACTAGTTCTGATGAGTCTCATAACTGATCACGATGATATTACAACACAACATTGTACTACTGTATATTGTTTTCAGTTGCCAGGGGGCTGTTGGACCTTAAAAGAACTGATGACTTGGGAAAAACATTCAAGGTTATTGGATCAAAGATTTACTCTTTTGGATTGGGAGGACGTTTCCTCTTCGCATCAGTTATGACCGACAAGGTAAACTCAAAATAGGGATCATGGTTTAATACCCAAATAACTATCCTGAATATATACACATATATATAGTATACACATATTGTTAGTTGGATGCATACCTCCCTTTAAGCCTTAGCCTTTTCCTACCCAGATTCCATTGAATATGGCATGAAGTCTGGTATTGATGATCATTGTGACCAGATAATGATTTTAAAATATTCAGACACTGCATACTTCAGTGCTGATCAACACAATCACAATTAATGATTGTGAGAGAAACTGCATATGTGCAATGTTAAGTTCAGAAACAAATGTATATTTAATTCAGTCTAGAAGAATTGACTCTCGAGTTCCCTTTGCTACCAGAGTTGTAGGCTTTCTGGCCCACAGAAAATATAAAGATTTCTGTACGTTTCAAAAAAGTGTTGTGGATGATCTTTGTTAGTGATTTAATCTTTAAATAAAACGTGTAAAGGAGAATTGGTTGGTGCTGCCAGTCGTGACCATTTGCCACCGTTAAGATGAAAGGGGGAAAATAAGTACAGGCAGCAAGAACAAACTTGCATTTTACAGTATCCTGTCTTTACACGTCTCCTCGTCAGGCTCCTAAATTATGCAGATTTGTACATTTAAAATGTTTAACAATCGTGTTAGTTGGTTTTGATTTTGTTCTGTAATCTTAACAGGTCTCCACCAACGTACTGATGAGAAAATGTTTTGATTATATTGTCATTGTGTAGGTCAGTTTAAGGGCAATCCATGTGTCCATGGATCTTGGAGAGACTTGGAATATGGCACAGTTGCCCCACGTTAGTGCTGAACAGTTCTACTCCATACTGGCTGCAAATGATGACATGGTATTCATGCATGTTGACGAACCCGGCGGTAAGTCTTTGTACTAGATGTTATTCAGATCCGATAAGTTGTACTAATAGGAGCACACCTCTTTTTATATGCATTCTTAAAAGAGAAATTTCATTGTCACAACTTTGAAACAAAATAAATCCATATTTTTAGATAAGGAGGATAAACTGTTGATATTCTTTTTGAGGGAAGTGAGTGGGGTAAGCCTTTGTTGGGTAGGTTTTCATTGTTTATAACCCTGAATGCTGATGATTTCAGAGAACAATGCCTTTGTGAGTTGGTAAGATTTAATGATATCAGAGAATTTAATTAACATGCACAGAGCTTAAAGTGCCCTGGAGTTGATTGTAACGCTGTTAATTCAGCTCCCTCGCACTGTCAGAGCTGTAAATCTTTGTGCCAGTAAATATCAGAACCAGATGCTTAAACAATGGTTGCAAATAATAAAACATTGGACTTCAATCAAAATTGATTGCAACAGCTTGGCTTTTACATTGGCGACAGAAGGGAGAGGCACACAGGTGTTGCTGGTTATGAATACAAATGTAAGGCTAAAATGTGAAATGTTTAATTCATAAATGCCACACCGTTAACAAATATTATTTTCTTTTAGATACCGGCTTCGGCACAATCTACGTTTCGGATGATCGTGGAATCCTCTATTCGAAATCTCTGGAGAGACACTTGTACACGACAACTGGAGGCGAGACAGATTTCACTAACGTCACTTCACTACGTGGAGTGTATCTTACTAGTGTACTTGCTGAAGGTGAGTAAGGATTTTTTTTAAGTGCTTCAAGACACTACCTTGAAGGGCGTTATATAATTGCATGTTGCTTTTTAAGGGGTCATGCTTATTCCATTGACAAAGTCTGAACATCTGTGCTTTTCATGACATCAAAATTGGAAATAATATATCCTGAAAAACCTGAAGAATTTGTGCCATTTTTTTAAAAAAAGTCGCTCTGTTCATTGGTGCCTGATCTTGTTTGGTCTCAAATGACTTTGTGAAAAGCCAAGCTCCATCTTGTAGTAGACTAATTATATTCAAGAAGTGATTAGGTGAAGTAGGTGAAACTGAGTTTGGACATTAAAAACCCGTAGGTTGAAGTAGCAACTGAGTTTGAACTTTACCATTATTGCTGAAACGACCTGGGCGATAATTGTGCTATTTTTAGGTTTCAAATAAATTTGGTGTAACACTTTTAGCTTGACTTCAAGACCATTCATTTTTGTTTGTTCATGCTTAGATGGCTCTGTTCAGTCAGTGATTACGTTTGATAGAGGAGGAGAATGGAAACCCTTGCGGAAACCAGAGTACAGCGATTGTGATTCAACCGCCAAAAACCAAGATGAGGTGAGTTTAAAGTGACACAGATAATTAACAGTTTGCTTTAATTCAAGGATCTTGTATGGTTTTCTTCTCCTACCCCTCTTCTTTTAAATTAGAAACCCTGAGATTTGCGCTTGTCTGACTACATTAGTATTTCTGCATTTTCGCTAGTGTCTTCAATTGTGTAGAGAAGGGAGTTTCTCCTTGTGTCCTGGCCAACAATCCTGATTAAATTGGTCATTCAAGTCACTGCTGTTTGTGGGGCGTTGCTGTATGCACATTGGCTGCCATGTTCGCCTACAAAATACAGTGCACTTTACAGTAAATCCTGTTAGGCATTTTGAAGTGGTACAACAAAGTGATAAGGCGCCATATCAAATGCAAGGTTTATTATGCATTAAATGTGATTTAAATTGTTTTTACAATATATAATGTACAACTACATTTTTGTTTGTTCATGCTTAGGTGGCTCTAAGTTGTTTTTAAATTGTTTTTACAATATATAATGTACAACTACATTTTCGCAAATTTATGTAGTGAAAAAACTTTTTGTGCGGCATTGTCCAATAACTATTTGAAGTTGCTTTATAGAATTGAATACATTTTCTAATATTTCAGTTCCCTAAATCTCTTAAGGCATTCTGATATTAACTTTACTTATAATGGCTGTTCTAATCTAATCTGTTCTAATGTGAATCGAATCTCCACAGTGTAGTCTACATATCCACGCGTCCTATAGCACTTCCCAGAAACTGAACGTGCCTATGCTACCATTGTCAGAGCCAAATGCAGTGGGCATCCTCATAGCACACGGTATGAAACTCGTATCTGACTTTTTTCCTTAATTTTATGACGTATTTCCTATACTTTTATGTTTAATGAAACCAACGTATTCTTCAAAATGTTAGTGGATGGGCTCTAAAAGTCACATTGTCCGCCATCTATTTTCAAATAACTTGTTTTGTGTGTTTTTAAATGGTTTCACACAGTAACCTCTTGTTAAACCTTCTCACGATGAATGGCAAAGGCAGATGACATGCTAATTGATGGCTGCTATCAGTGTTGGTCTAGCTGCTTGCCAAAGTAACCGCATAAAAACAAAACCCTATGATCTGCTTAGAGATGATTTGCTGCTTGTGTACTTTGCCTTGAAAGCTTGGCTGAGAAAATAGCTTGCTGTTTGGAGAATCATTAGTTCCTTTGTTTTGTTGCATCACATTTAGTCATGTTGCATTAACCTATAACTTTTTTTATTTAAAAACAACTTGAATACTGAATTCTTAATTGTAGGAGCTTCTTTCCTCTTTCACCCACCCACATACTGTTTTTTTCTTTAATTTCTTAGTTTAAATCAAATTGTTGCATCTATCTCAATTAAATGTAACAGCCCTCTGAACTGCAGAGTCCTTCTTGGCTACTTTGATTGTTTGGAGGAGGTGCACTTTTATGGAGAAGGCTATTCCATTCAGTTTCCTTCTTCTCCCGAGTGTCCTTTATCCATTCTTCAAAGTAGCCCAGTCCTATTCTTGAGTAACCTCTTGGTTTTTCAGTGAGGATATCTAGCATTGTTCTGTCCCTCCCTCAAAATAAATCCCTTGGCAATAAATGCTGAGTACAGTCTGCTTGTGTGAGTTCTCCTCTGTAATGAACCAATCGACTGTATCTTGTTGCCTTTTGAAAGTTTACCCCCTGTAAACCTTTGGCCAAGATTTGAAACTTGGCATTGCAGGAGTCATCTGTGCTTACATTTTAATACCTGACAGATTTTCTTGAACTTTTAACACTTTAAGATTAACTTGAGGTTAAACAATGAGTTAATCCGTTTAGAAAGCATCAAACTAATCTGCTGGTGTTGCAAAGTGAACCATTTTAGTCCTTTTGTAAAACATTATTTATTTACAAAGACTCATTTTGCAAGGCCACATATATTCTTTTACTGTTTACATTTATAAGCACTCATAGTAGAGCGGAATATATTTGGTCCGTATTGCTGTTTTCTCATTTGATCCAAAGCTGATACAGCACACTAAAAATCAACGCAATAGTTCAGGGGAAAAAACAGGCAACTATTTTTGATTAGAATTGCTTTTTGAAGTTTAGTTTTTCGTTAAGTTTAATTACTTTAATGTTTTCTCTTTTAGGCAGTGTTGGCGATGCAATTTCTGTTATGACACCTGATGTATACATATCAGATGATGGTGGATATTCTTGGTTTAAAGCTCTTAAGGGACCTCATCACTACACCATTTTGGACTCAGGAGGCCTGATAGTTGCAATTGAGCAGAATCTATACAACACTGTCAATGTTATTAAGTAAGTGTTACTTGGTTATGTGTTATGTTTCTCCATGTGTTCAGTAGAAAGGAGAATAGATTATTTTGACCTTCTTTAAGGTCTTGCATTGCTTTGGGAAGTCCTCCCAATATGAAAAGCACATTACCAAATGCATGGATTATTATCATGATCCAGGGAACTGAGATGGAGAAGGGACTTTGGTAATAATGAGATCTTGCTGTTCATACTGAAATATTTCCTTATAACCGTATTTTCACCATGCGTACCCTTTTCATCACTGTTCTTTTTGATTCTTAGATTTTCTATTGATGAAGGTCAGTGTTGGTATACATACCAATTCATAGACAAGCCCATTGTATTTACTGGCCTGGCTTCTGAACCAGGTGCCAAGTCAATGAATGTCAGTATCTGGGGATATATTGACTTCATCATTACACAACACTGGGTGTCTATCACCATCGACTTTGAAGAACTTCTTACACGGGACTGTGAGTTTATTTCTTTGGAGTTAAATATTAGGCATGGACTAATGATTTCCTAGTTTAATAACTTTAGTGATTTTTTTAAATTAAAAATTTTTGCTGTTTATTGTGGGTAAACAAGTATCTGTTTCCAGTTTGTCTTCTGTGTTTGGCTCAATTTATTGTTTTAATATTTCATTTCAAATATAATGAAAGTTTAGTGCTTAGATCAATGTCTGGTATTGTTCAAGTGAGTGTAATTTCTTATTTGTGGTGCTGTTATATGTAGGTAGCCCTCTAACCTTGAAGCTCTGGAACTCCCTCCCTCAATCCCTCTGCCTTGCCCCCTCCCTCCCACTTTCAAATCCCACCTAAGGACCTTGCTGTTTGATCGTACTTACGGTCGCCTTTCTCCCTGGCTCGGTGTCAGACTCCACCACTGTCGAGCGCGCTCCGGGACACTACCCCGCGCAAAGAGTGCTATATAAATGCAAGTTGTTGTTGTTGTAGCATTACTGTAAATGCATCCTGTGCATTGAAATGACTTCACTGCTACTTCTGCAGGTGGTGATGATGATTACATCCAGTGGCTTGCACATTCAAGCAACGTTAGTGATCCTAATGATGGCTGCATGTTGGGTTTCAAAGAAAAGTTCCAGCGCCTACGAAAATCTTCCCTCTGCCGAAATGGGCGTGACTATATCGTGAATAAACAACCTAATGTTTGCCTTTGCACTCTGGATGATTATTTGTGGTAAGGTATTTAACTGAAATGTTGTATAATTTCTAACCCCCTCCACTCCAGTTTCTTTTTCTAACACCTCAAGACCATCCTTTTCGACCACGCCTACAGTCACCTGGCTACCCACCCCTCCTTGCCTTCCACCCATCCTGATCCCAACCCCCAGCTCGGGTGCACATCCTTGACTGTGCAGGGCTTTTGGATGTCCTCCCGACGTGAACGGTGCTGTACAAATGTTTTTTGCCATTTAAAGCATTCACTTACTGATGTGTTCCTTTCCCGCTCCCACCATTTATTTGGGAAAGTGGTGGTGTATCAAAAGCAGCTAATTATTCAATAGTGTAAAGATAGAAAATTGTCTGGGACTCTTCTTAGTTGAGAACCTGCCAATCTGATATGATGTTCATGCCTGAAATATGATGTGAGAGTTTAGATCTGCTTAGGGTGGAAATTCAATTATTGAGTGGACAATGTTGCTTTGAGGTTGCAAAGCAATTAAATAATTTACTGACTTACATTTTTTCAGTGATTTTGGATACTATCGACCAGAAAATAGCTCCAAATGTCTGGAACAGGCTGATTTGCAAGGTCATGACTTGGAATTCTGCTTACAAGGAAAAAAAGAGAACTTGAAGACGACTGGGTAATGCGTTTGTTTGTTTTTTTAATTGAGACTTAAAGAGAATTTTATTTTAAGACATCAGTATATCTTAAACGTCCAGGCTTATTCAAGTTGTATTTCTCTAATTACCTGATGCATTATCATTTCCTATGTGAATCAAATTGCATATGGTGGAAGAATTAGAATTGGATAGAATCATTCCTGGCTGTTTGCAATATTCTTAGGTAATGTGGCCAGGTTATTGTGCCCAAGATATTTACTTGATCTTATTTCAACTGGCTTTATCCAGATGGTTCTAATAAATAAAATGTGTGTGCTTCAATTGGACACATCCCACTTTGTGACTTGAATTGGATCAATTTTTATCTGAATTCCCTTTAAACAAAAAATTATTTACTTCTAAGATTCGTGTTATGTGATCATTTAGTTGCATGTATCCGAAAGATTAATGTGCACCGAAGAGTTTTTTGTTGGTGTTCCATTTCAAGCTTTTATTTCAAATTAAACTGTTTCATTTTCTAAATTTGTCCACTTTTTAAAAAAAAATACTTGTATTGAAAGATTTATTAAACCAAGTACCTGTTTCTTAGGTACCGAAAAATTCCAGGGGACAAATGTCAAGGAGGTATACAACTGAATCGGTCAGAGGAGGACATTAGCAAAAAGTGCATCAGTAACTTGCTGATCCCTGAAAAGCTGGTAAGAACTGCTCCAATTTATTGTAAGTTATCAGAATGGGAAGAGAAGAAGCCTCCTACTTGTCCCTCATGCCCTCCGTTCCACCATTGGTGGCCGCGCCTTCAGCCACTACACCCCAAAAATCTGGAACACTGTCCCTCCATACCTCCGCCTTGCCGCCTCCTTCCCCAACTTCAGGTCACGCCTGAAGACCTTCCACTTCGACCGTAACTCCAGTCAACCCCCCCCCCCCGGCTCAGCATCGTGTCAAGTGCTCTGGAATGCTACCCTACGTCAGGGGTGCTATATAAATGCTTCTTGTTACACTTCAGAGCTCATTGATGATTTTTGCATTATACCCATTTCAAGCTGTGATGTTGATCCACACTCCTCACTTTGCATTGTGGGTCAAATAGTATTGCCTGAAATGTGAATGAAAATTTAAAACTGATGCAATAATTCTTCTCCAGGAGGGTTAAGATGCTTTCTTGGGACTGAAATAAGCCCTGCTCTGCATCTGACCTGACCTTTAAGTACTTAAAGCTAACATAGTGCGAAGGATGTTGAGAACAGTTTCCAAAGATTAGAATCACCCAAAATCATCTTTGCTCTAATTCTTAACTGGAGTGGTTGGTTTAAAGTCTTGGAAATCCGATTATTTTTTTCTGAGCAGAAACTTAACATTTCTTTTGTTTGATTTTAGGCTGATTCCTCAGGGTCCAGGGTGATTCCAATCGTTGCCATTGTAATGGGATTATTACTGGCACTGTTAATAGTTGGAACAATTGTTATAAAGAAGTATGTGTGCGGTGGAAGGTAAGCGTTCATTTTGAGTGTGTTTATTTCTCTATGCTTTGTAAAATATAGTGAATTATTTCTTTAAGACACTTTATAACTTTATGCGGTGTAATAGCCTGACTGACAGACACACTGGAGACTAAAGGCGGTGTATAGTGTGTGTGTGCGTATGTTGCCTTTGTTCTGTGCGTAAATCTGATTAAACATTTTTTTATTTAATGGCAAAATTGGTTATTGGCTGACGGGATACTACCCATCAGCACACTGAAAAAAATAACCAACCAGCTGTGCTCACAGAATGTGAGGACATGGGTTTGTGATGTATGATTCCTTTGTGTGGAAGAGATACGCCCACAACATGCAGTCAATTCACTTTACAGTTTATTCTGTGAAGCACTTTGAGACATCTCACCGACGTGATAAGGCACTAAATCAAATGCAAGGATTATTATATAAGAGCTATTTCCTCATACTAAAACAAGCTGCTTGTCGAGTGATAGTCAGGTATGGTCTCAAACTTTGCATTATTCATGCGTTCAGGTTTTTGGTGCATCGCTACTCAGTATTGAAGCAGCATGCTGAGGCCAATGCAGTGGATGAACTGGATACTAACGTAACTGCCAATAAAACAGAATACCACGATGATTCTGATGAGGTAAGGAATCTGGTTAGATATTTTTGCCCATTTGAACTTCTCAAACAAAGTTAGAATTAATCTATCGTACCCTTTCCTCATCGCAAATGTTTCACCTCAAAAGTGAGATTCTCTTGTCAGAATTATGGGATTGGAATTCAGAATTTATATACAAGGCGCATGAATGTGCCCTGCCCGCTACCACCATCGGCCTTTCTGCCTCCATCCTCTGTAACTCTATCTTGGAGCCCATCCACCTACCTACTTCCTTCCCTCCTTCAAGGCTCTTCCTCTTCAACCGTGCCTTTGGTCATCTTTCTCCCCCCTTGCACTCCACCTACTTGACTCCATCCCCCAGCTTGGATACAAACCCTTCACTGTCCAGCGCCTTGGGTTGTCCTCACAACTTGAAAGGAGCTGCATAAATACAATTTATTTTGTTCAGTCCGGTAGAATCAAAACTCACATTAAAACTGAACATTTTTTTGTTATAGGATCTTCTGGAATAGACTTGACTGCAAGAATGCGAGATGCTGGTTCATTTTCCTGTATGAAGTTGTACTTTTCTTGCCAAACATCACCTTAAAAGTGGTGCTGTTGCTCCGTCTTGGGTGTTTCCCTATTAAATACATAACCCGATTCTACAGCATCAAAGACCCAGTGAGACTTTCGCAAGCGTGGTGTTATCTAAAGCTGCAATCACCAGTTTCATCTGTTTATCGGGAGTGAAACGGCCTTCATGTACTTGTTTTAAAAAAAAAAGCCTCTTTTTATGTGTAAGGTGGGAGTGGAAATGGACAGAAAATGCTGCATAGAGTGATTAACGGAATCGTTAACTAGAGTTTTTAAAAAGTATATTAATTGAGAGTGGGTTTTGGAGAACTGTTTTAATCGCCTTCTGGATTACTGCTGACATCAAGCTCCCCTGGACTCTTGTTATGATTAGAGCAAATTATCTTTTTTCAGAAGAAGAGACAAGATATGGGCGTTGGGCAAGATACCTTCATTTTCCAGCTGTGGATAACTTGTCATACATTTATATGTACGGAGTTGGGTTTTTTAAAAAAATGAAATATGCAAACGATGGCTCTGAAGAAGAAAATTGCTGCTTAAACCACTAAGTTTCAATGAATTGGAAACTGAGAAATAATATCCAGCCTGTAACTACCAACCCCGTGTGTTTCATTGTGGTGGGACAGTACTTGGTGTTTTCTCTTGAATGTCTTGAAATTCTAGTAGTGATTCCTTTTGTTTGTCGATCTTTGTTTCTACTGAATAGTTTTCCCACTGAGGGGTTTGCCCACCCGTGTGTCAGTTTTAAGGTTAGACCTCCACTGATCAGGCACAGTTAAATATTTTATTCAAGAGCAAATTCTCTTCCATTTTCTTCATAGGGATTTTATTGTATAGTGTTTTAAAAATACACTAAAGTACACATATCCATTCATAAAACAATCCAGCAATGCATTGAACAACTGCCGCTTCACTGCTTGAAAGACTTTCACAACCTGAAGAAATGAGCATTGAGTGCTTTTCACACATTTGGAAAATTCTGATCAATCATTAACTGTAATCTTTCTTATTTACGAATTGCAAAATCAAAACTAACATATAGACTGATTTGTTAAACCTTTGTCTTTTCAAATGCTGCTTGGTGTTGGAAAGGAATAGCTATTTATGGATCTGGATATATATATATATATATATATATAGCCTACTTGAAGACTTGGTTTGCTTGCTATTTCCAGGATAAATCTTTCCACCTGGAATTCTGTCTGTATTTTAAAAGCATTTATGTTGCTTTGATCGGTTCATAGAAATATAGGTATGATGCGGTTTCAAAGATAGAAAGTGAATTTAATAACCCCCTGAAAATGTTTGTGGAGACTTATCCCGGGTTCCTTGCAACAGTGAGCAGGTATTTGAGTTTTGAAGATCTACTAATCTAAAACACTTATTTTATTTCTAAAATCAGTAGCGTCGATACGAAAAAAAATTGAAGGGTTTCCTTCCATTTTAAAGACTTGTAACAGTTGCATTGCTTTTCATTGTTTACGTTTGTTGTGTTTTATATTTTGCTCATTTCTTACGAATCTTTGCACTTGTTGCAATACTGCATGGAGTACTTCCTTGCCTGGATGTTATAGTATGAGGCACACTTCTTCCATAGACTTTAATCACAGGCTGCACCTGCTATTTTTATTTTATGACCCAACTATCATAGCTGGGATGCTTCATGATTGTTCCATTTGCTGGGATGTGAGCATTCATTTCTACAGTATCAAATAGGATGTTTTAGAACTGTTGGGGTAATTTTATAACCACTCGATCTTGGCATTTAAACGTAAGAATACATTTGAACGCTCGCCCACCTTCAGTTTGTAACCAGGTGCAGATCTTTTTTGGTATTCCAAATGGAAAGATTTCATAAAGGAAAAGGGTATAGGTATGTGGGGGTGGGGGGGGGGGGTGGGTGCAAATATTGTCTTGGATTTCACCTGAATAGATAGATTCAAGCTAAGGCATGTGCAAGAGCTTAACTGAATTGACCTCGAGATATTCAGTAAATGTCAGTTAAAAACGTCGGAGTTTAAAAAGTTATGAACTCAAATCAGCTTTCGGATATTTCAGTGGCAATTTTAGTCTTGACCAGAATCAGAAATATCCTGATTATTGGTTTGCAAAGTCGACTGGTAAAAAGCTAACCGTGAAATTAATTTAATGCAATTTGTGTGTTTTTAAACAAAAATAAAGGTATTATGTTTAATTTACGTTGTAACTTTTTTTTTGCTGCTGAACCTTTTGTTCGACGCTGTGTTATTCCAATGATTTTGTTTATTTACAAAACACTTATACTACACTGAAGGTCTTTTTTCAACAAATATTGAAACTAATATCCAGACAAATTTGTCCTTCACTTGATGGCTATTTTGTGGCACCCGCTGCGTGCGAATTGGCTACTACATTTGCCTACAAATACGGTCACCACACTTCTCAGCGCCTGGGGACATCCTCCCGACGTGAAAGGCTCGGTACAAATGTAATCATCCTCTTCTTGTTCTAATAATAATAATCCTTGAATTTGATGTAGCGAAACGCAAAAGCAAAAACTAAATTATAATGTGTGAAAAGAAACAGAAACTCTGGGGGCAATTCCTTGGCAAACGCTACGAGCTAACCGCTGCTGTGGGGCGCACAGCCGAGATGACGAGCGACACTTGCCCTGTAATGTAATGACCGGCTGACGATCGGGGCAGTTTTTCTGCCCGGCCCAAGGCGTCGTCCGGCTTCGCCGAGAGGGCAGTGTTTTTTGGAGCTGTTAATTTGTGGGGCGGGGGATCTAATTGGCGAAGGGAGTTGTGGGCTGATTGTCACGGTGGAGAGTCTGTTCGAGGCGTGGGCACATGTTTGTTTACAGCCGCTGGCTGGGTAGCCCGTGGCAACCGAACGTAACAGGATTCCGGAAGTAAGAGAGAAAGAGAGAGAGAGAGACTCAGACACAGCCAAAGCAGACAGTCAATCAGTCAGTCTCTCTCATCCCAGAAATCTGCCAAAATGTCGAGTTCTGCCACAATGTCAAGTTATTCAACCCTCGCGGCCTCGCACCTTACTCAGAAAGATTCGCACCCGGGTACATCCATGTCGTAAAGCTTAACTTGTCATTCATTGCTTTCCAGCGCCTATCTACTCTCAACCAGGAAAGGGAAAGTGTATGTGTGTGGTGGGGGGGTAAAGTGATAACCAGAAGTATCAGCGAGTGCTCAGTTAGTGCATTTAGGTTTCCCGAACCACAGGAGGGGAAACGTCCTTCTAATTGTCAGTCTGGCTGAGTAGATTGCAATGTGGTTTTATACATTTTAGTGTTTTTAAATTTGTTTCTGTGTCGATTGGTAGCTCGCAGTTTCCGTTTTTTCAGGACACTTGACTTGGTCTCTTAGTGACAACTAAAAGCTCCCACCACCTTCCCCCCCTCACCCCCCACCACCCCCCCTCCCATTGGTAAAAGTCTTTAAAAAAATTTGAAATCCATAGAACAAGAGTCAGTTTAACCTTTGAGGCCGTAAAATCCTCAGATAAGATCTCTTGTTTTGAAGATTTGTTTTTTTGCGATACCCTGGAAGAGAACTATATATTTTTTAAAAAACACAGACACAATTACAGTACTTTATGGGTTAATCGTGAGATGTGGAGCTGGCTTTGATATACCTATAGTGTACAGTTAAGAGTTGTGTCAACCTATATAGTAAACCTCACATAAGTGATGTCAGTTGGGACCATACATTTAATACGACTTACGCAAGGTATGAGTTATGTCAAACTTGCGTAGAATATAAACTCTTGAACGGGACTTAAGCAGAGGTACGACTTAGCCGATTGTATGATTTGTACAGATTAGACTTATGCGAGTTTTACTGTACAAGGGATATAAACGGAGGCTTCTAACCACATGATGGTGAAAGCTTGAGCAGAAATTGAGCTGCATAGTCTCTGAGGATTTTTCCCAGGTAGGTGGAGGCAAACATGCTTTCGTTAAATAATTGTAGCCAGTGGGTGAAAGATCAATGAAAAGGAAAGCTTCCTGCACGCTGGCTAATGTTGATTAGCGTTAAACGTTAAAGGTATTTAACAATACCCATTGTTTCTAGGCTTCTGAACAAGGGGTGTAGTTAAGGAACAGATGAGGTGGTGATAATGTGCAAAACTGACATGAAGTTGTGAGTAAAAACGCAAAGATAATTCATCGTCAGGAATGATTGTTATTCAGTGATGCCTTTAGTTATTTTATTGAGTTCTAATTTTCCTGGCCTCAAAATGATCCGGGATGTCCTCTATTATTACAGATCTGTGCCAAAATTCTGTGCACAAATCTCTTGACCACATGATATATTGGCAATACTATTAAACCTTCACAATTCAAAGTACCATACCCATTGTTTCTACACTACTGAGCCCAAGGCGTGTGTTAAGCACGTGGTAACGTGCAAAGCCGAGTAATTAAATGAAGTTACGAGTAAAAGCGCAAAGATAATTCTGGATTGCAACACAAAATAATGTCGCCATTGAATAACCTATTGGGATGGTGTCTGAGATGTTTCCACTGATTGAATCGGTTAATTGTTGTTTTTTTCCCCCAGTGGTAAAAAAGATCAAGGTAGAAAGTTATCCAGACGTGGAGGTGTTTCCACTTTATTGGGCCAAAAATAGACTTGGAAATGAGTACCCGCCTATCCGAGGAACCCCAAACCGTGGACCAGGCACCTATAATAATCATCTTGTATGCACGTGATTACTATACTTTTTATTAGTGTCAGAACTATTGACTTGCATTGGTAACCTTATATGAATTATTGTATTCCTCTCATATTACCAGATGCACAGTGACGCACTGAGGGTCAATCCAGCAGTCTAGTCCAGCTAAGCGCAATTGGCTGCCACATTTCGTCCACAAAATATATAGATGATTCACTTTATAGTATATTCTGTGAAGCGCTTTGAGACGTCTCAACAACATGATCAGGCACTATATCAAATGCGAGGATTATTATTATGTCATTTGAATCTCCTGTTTATATTTTTTCTTTGACAGAGAAACAGTATAGTTCAAAATATGAAAGAGAAACCATTAAGTAACTACGGGTACGTACTAGGAGCAAGGACGCAACGTCGATTTACTCAGGCAAGTTGCGAAGTAGGAATAAATGTCTTTTATTTAAAAACATGTATAATGTTATAATTCGGCCTCCTCCACATCATTCTTGTATTCAGTTCTGGAAACTGGGTTCAAATCCAGTCCAGTTTAATGAAATAAAAATCTCTCACTGTTGATTATAATAAACTGTGTACTGACTACTATGGAACTGCCCACAGTTAGCCATTAAAATCACTAGATGCAAATTAATTATTGACTGCCACATTTTCGCACAAAACACAGTGACTCCACTTTACAGGATATAGTGTGTGAAGCGCTTTGAGACAGCCTCCCTTTGTGAAAGGTGCTTTATCAAATGTAATTATTATTCCTGGGTAGGTATTTAATGTGGGCTCTACTGTATTTTCAATAATCAATCGCCTCGCCTAGTTTCTAACATATTAAAATCATTATTAAAGATCCTTATGTGAACCATTTACACTCTTTTCATAATTGTTAACCTGTTTACTACATAAATAATAATCCTTGCATTTGATACAGCACTGGATATCTCAAAACACTTACGGTGAAGTGTATCAAATGTAAAGATTGTGTTTCAGTCCAATATAAACAAGCGAATGAAGTTGGAGCTCGAGGACGTGTGAGGGACTCATTTCTTGTGTTATCTTGACGATTTTCCTCCACTTCCACCCACCCCGTCATCAGGTTGCTAATGAAACACCTAGCCCTGCAAATTACCAGAACAAATGGACAAAAGACAAGGTGTCCAAGCAGGTAGTGGCTCCTTTTGGCTTTTCCCTTCCAAAAAAAAGAAAGAGTCCTGGAAAGACTTGGTCACTCCTGGGTAAGTGTCATTCTTCAAAGAACGTTCTCAGAATGATTCCAGCTTCTTCCTCTTTTCCTTATGTCTCCTTCCTGGTGTGCTCTTTTCTTTCCCGCCCTCTCTCCCTCCTTCCCTCCCTGCAGTTGTTGACAGAGCAGGGTTTTTCTTGTTTGTGAAAGGCGCAATACAAATGTAATTTTGCTGCCTGTTGTTGTTGTTGTTCCATTTTAAAAACGTGTCCCCTCTGATCTTTGTGTGAAAGCTCAGCTCCTAAAACCAACTTCAAAGTAAATGAGTTGATTGCACTTTCAAAGGAGCCCCAGCACTGAGATGATGGCCCAAATGGCTGTGTTCTGAGCTGTAAATTTATATGGTTTAAGGATGGATGGAGTGCTGAGATGAGATGTGAAAAGGCGGGTGTTGTCCGTGTTTCTTTTGATGACGTCTGCTATACTTTATTGCCAGTAGCGACCCATTGAAGGTGGAATTTTGTGTATTTCTAGTCCCGGTACGTACGAACATCAATTGAAGTGCAACAGAAGGATCACATGGCCAATGAAGTTCAGCTCTCCAGATTGGAGTCTGGTTTCTTCTCCCAAAAGGAGGACACTGAGGATTGAGGTACGATTGACGTCGAAATTAAAAAAGATAATAATAATACCAGTTTAAAAACTCCCATCAGAAATCGTTTATGCTATCAACAAAACACTTTCCTTTTCTGAGACAACAACAGCACCTTTCATTTCTACAGCGCCTTTCACATTTGGGAGGAGGACCTCTCAACGCGCTTCACTGCAGCTGACTGCAAGCCCATAATGGGGTTGGTCGGTAGGGGCTTGGGGTTAGGGTGACCAAAAATGCGGTTGGAAAGAAAGGCCTTAAGACTCATTTTAAAGGTGGAGAGGAAGGGTTGAGGTGGACTGCAGCTCTGGAGAGTGGGAGCAGGATGGCTCAAAGGTCGCCCGCCAATATTTTGTAAATAAACTAATCTTTTAATTTTTTAAAACGTGTATAATTTTGGCCAGGTTACAGAACACTGTTAAGTTGTTGGATCCTTTGCAACGTATCAGAACCTGACAAAGAGTTCTTCTGCTTTCAGCTTCCCAGCGACAAGGATTTTCGGAAGCACAGAAATAAAATGGCGTATTTCAGCCTGTACTTCAACTAATCGATTCAAAAGGCTTCGACATTGAGCAAACTGCCTAATCCCTCAGAATGCTGGTCACTGTTTTTTGCTAAACTTCTGTAGGTTGATTGTATGAAACTTAAAATTACAGAATTGACAATTCTGAAGAACATGTATCCTGTGATCCATTTGTTTTTGAAAATGTTATTTGCCTTATCAAGGGTTGTGTCTATTTAATAATAAAGTATTCCAATCTATCTATCATTGTTAAAACATAATTACATTGTTTTTGTACAGGAGTATGAATTTTTTTCTCCTGAGTGTGTTTCGACTCCACCTGCCCAACTGTATTATGGTTCCACCAACACAAATTCTCAAGTACTTTGTCCAAATGGCACAATTATTCATTCATACGTGAGCTTTGATGGTGAGCATCGCAACCGAGCCCGCACCACAAGGGTATTGGATAGTGAATAGAAGTGGGAATTCTGGTTGATTTGGACTTTGAGCCCAATCGCCGTGACCCCAGTGCCACGATATTGTCTAATTTTGGCACAGACTCCAGACAAAACACTCCAATTTGGGGCTGGGCAAGTATTGTCGGAGGCGCCGTCCGTTGGATGAGAAATTAAACCAAGGTCTCGTCCGCCTGTTCAGGTGGACGTGAAAGATCCCGTGGCACAATTTGAAAAGAGAAGGGAGTTTCTCCCAGTGTCCTCGCCAAATAAATTCGGTCGCTCACTCCGTGGCTCTTTGCGGGACATTGCTATGGGCAAACTGGCTGCCTTGTTTTGCCCATAAAATACACAGTCAAACCTCTTTACGGTGAATCCTGTGAAGGCGCTTTGAGATTTCTCAACAACCTGACAAAGTGCTATAACATTCAGGTGGTCACAGGTCTCCAATAACATTCTAAAAATAGGCACACGCGGAGAAACACAGCCCATCTTAAATAATCCAACAAGTTTCTCCGGTAACTGCCAGCGTCAGGGCTTGCGGTGAGTTCAGTGTTTGTGTTTTTTTTTAATATGTGGGTCCCTCGATTCGGTTTACAAAATACGGTCACCCTGTTTTTGTCGCCCACGACGTACAGTCGATTAATGCACTTTACAATATAGTCTGAGAAACGCTCAGAGACGTCCCACCGTCGTGATAAGGCTCTATAATCAAATGCAAGGATTATTATTATTACGGGTTTTTACATAGTAAGGCAACACGCAATAACATCGTTTTGGACTCGACTTGGTCGAGGGCTTATCTCGCAATTGGCCGCCCCGTGTCGCTCACAAAATATACAGTCACTCCACTGGACGGCGTAAACCCCCCGAAGCCCTTTGAGACGTCTCGAAGACGTGATGAGGCGTTATATCAGGTGCAAAGATTATTATTATTATTAGGTGTTTGGTGGGCTTTGGAATTGCTTTGGGGCGAGTGTTGGGGGCGGGGTGGGTGGGTTGGGCTATTGGGTTGGGCTATTTGGGCTATTTGGGGGCGGGGTGGGGTGGGTTGGGCTATTTGGGGCGGGTGTTTTGGGCTATTTGGGGGACTGGTGTTTGGGCTATTTGGGGGCGGGTCGGGTGGGTTGGCTATTTGGGGGCGGGGTGGGTTGGGCTATTTTGGGGGCTATTTTGGGCTATTTGGGCACTGGTGGGCATTGGGCTACAAACCCATTGCGCCCCCCCCCCCCCCCCCGCAGTGGCCGCTAAGCACCATGGGATGTGCCAAGATGGCGGTGCTGTTGAAGATGGCGGGTGAATTGGGAGAGGAGCTGCTGGACGCCGAGAGTGCGGGGGAGGGCGGCTCCAGGCAGGTAACTGAGCGGCGGGGGGACGGGGGGCGGGGAGCGGACTCGGAGGGAGAGAGAGCGAGAGGGAGGGAGGGAGGGAGCGCGGGGCCCCGCGGCTCAGTCCGGGGCCTGGTGGTGGGTGGGAGCGGCTGTGATGGACGAATAGGCCCCTCCCTCCCCCCCTCCCCCCACCCCACCCCACCCCACCCTGGGGGCTGATTGTGACGGTGTCTGTGTGTGTGTGTGGCTCAGTCACTGTGTGTGTGGCTCAGTCACTGTGTGTGTGTGTGTGTGTGGCTCAGTCACTGTGTGTGTGTGTGTGAGTGTGTCAGTCTGTCTCTGTCGCTGTGTGTGTGTGTGGCTCAGTCACTGTGTGTGAGTGTGTGTGTGGCTCAGTCACTGTGTGTGAGTGTGTGTGTGGCTCAGTCACTGTGTGTGAGTGTGTGTGTGGCTCAGTCACTGTGTGTGAGTGTGTGTGTGGCTCAGTCACTGTGTGTGAGTGTGTGTGTGGCTCAGTCACTGTGTGTGAGTGTGTCAGTCTGTCTCAGTCGCTGTGTGTGTGTGTGTGGCTCAGTCACTGTGTGTGTGTGTGAGTGTGTCAGTCTGTCTCAGTTGCTGTGTGTGTGTGTGGCTCAGTCACTGTGTGTGTGTGTATGTGTGGCTCAGTCACTGTGTGTGTGAGTGTGTCAGTCTGTCTCAGTTGCTGTGTGTGTGTGTGTGGCTCAGTCACTGTGTGTGTGTGTGTGTGTGTGAGTGTGTCAGTCTGTCTCAGTCGCTGTGTGTGTGTGTGTGGCTCAGTCACTGTGTGTGTGTGTGTGTGTGTGTGTGTGTGTGAGTGTGTCAGTCTGGCTCAGTCTGTAGCACTCTGGTCTCTTGAGTCAGAAGGTTACGCATCCGAGCTCCCACGTCAGGACTTGCAATCGCACAGTCTAAGCTGACACTCCAAAGCAGCGCTGGGGGAGCGCTGCATTGTCGAAGGTGCCGTCCTTCGCATGAGACATTAAAGCCGAAGTCCCACCTGCGCCTGTTCACGCGGACGTTAAAAGATCCCAATGCGCTATTCGAAAAGAGAAGGGAGTTTTTCTCTCTCTCCCGGTGTCCTGGCCAAACCTCCAAATAAAATCGTTTCACTCGCCCCACCTCTGTTTGCGGGACATTGCTGTGCGGAAACTGGCTGCTATATAAGTGTAAGTTGTAGTTGGCGACTGGAGGGGACAGGATGCATCCTGTGGCTTCCAAATGCTGTTTATTTACATTTCCTGAGCCGCAAGTGGATTGTTTATTGATTAAAATCCGATGCCTATGGTTGTGAATCTTAACGTATATCTGATAAGGTACCTTTATCCAGATTTATTGCATGGATGTGTTTACGTTGACTTTCCACCTGTCCATTGTTGGTGCCAGTCATAGATACTGGTTGTCACAACCCAGACAATCAGTTAACCAGTGGATAATAATACCGTAACCGTGAATACGAAGACACGCTAGATATCTGCAGCAATTCAATCAGCATCTAAAAAAGAAAAAAAACAGATTTTTTACTAGATCTTGAAGCTGGTGATTTCTACAGCTGTTTGTGGGTTATTGCTGTGCAATTGGCTTCCGCGTTTCGCCCACAAAATACACAAGTCAATCTGCTTTACAATACAACAACAACAAGAAGATTACATTTGTATAGTGCCTTTCACGTCGGGAGGACGTCCTAAGGCACTCGACTGTGTACAGCGTTTCAGACCCGAGCTGGGGTTGGGGGCGGGGGTGGGGGAGAAGGGAGAGGAGGGGAAGGGGGGTGGCAGATGGCATGGTCGAAGAGGAGGGTCTTGAGGCGGGACTTGAAGGAGGCTAAGGAGGGGGCGAGGCGGAGTGACTGGGGTATATAATTCCAGTGGTTGGGGGCAGAGTGGCTGAAGGCTCTCCCGCCAGTGATGGGGCGGGTGGGTCGGGGGATGTGGAGCAGCCGGAGCTGGCTGAGCGGAGGGAGCGGGCGGGTTGGTAGGGGGTTAGGAGGTCACAGAGATAGGGTGGGGCGAGGCCATGGAGGGCTTTGTATGTGAGGACCAGATCTTGAACTGGATCCTCTGAAGGATAGGGAGCCGATGGAGTCGGGCGAGAGTGGGGGAGATGGGGTCACGGAGTTTGGTGCGGGAGAGGACACGGGCGGCAGAGTTCTGGATTATCTGCAGCTGTGGAGGGAGGAGTTGGGAAGGCCGACACGCAGGGCGGTTGCATAGTCGAGCCTGGATGGAGGTGATGACGACATGAACAAGAGTTTCAGCGGCCTGAGGGGTGAGGTAGTGGTGGAGTCGAGCGATGTTACGGAGTATATTCTGTGAAGCACTTTGAGACGTCTCAATGACGTAATAAGACGCTACATAAATTGCAAAGATTAGGTCTTTTTATCTGCTGTTACTGTATTATTATCTGCCGGCGAACTGATAGTCCGGGTTGTGACATCCAGTATCTATGACTGACACCAACAATCGACAGGTCCAAATGTCAATGTAAATATATCCATTATTATTATTATTATTTCCACTCAGTGCATTTCAGGGGTAAGTTGCGATAACGTTTCATTCCCGTGTCTTTTATTTTCTAGCAGCTGGAAATTGAAAGTGAGGAACAGAAGGATTTGTACGACGATCTGATAAATGATATAATAGGAGTGCCTTTGAATAATGGGCTGGTTCCTAAAGAGACACCCTTTGATTTCGTGCCAGCGCCCAAATCCTTCAACATCACCATACAGACAAAGCCTGTCGTTGTCAGTAAACCTGCTCTTCCACAGAGGATCGAAATTCCATGTTCCGAAGAGAAGGTTCTGCTCATCGGAAATCTGACGTGGGTGAGTATTTTTGATCGTATCATACTATTTATAAAAATATATTGAATCAATAGCATCGTTACGTGTGTCTGATATGGCGAATTGGTAGCACGACAACAATATTTGCTATAAATATCGTGAGCGATTGGCGGATCGCTTTCCAGGGGTAATAATCCATCTGAAAAAAAAATTTCAGGTCACTCGATCCACGACTGTTTGTGGGGATACTGCTGTGCGCAATTGGCTGCCACATTTCGCTCACAAAATAAAACAGTTACCCCACTTTACAGTATATTCTGGGAGGCAGCCACTTGCGCGCAGCAGTGTTGCATCGAAAGTGTCCAAAGGAAAGAAGGATCACGTTAGAATTGAGCTCCAAGCCTGAGTGATTGAATGAAATAGTAACACAACAGAAATGACCATCTGCCTTTGCTGATTCGGGCTGTGTTGCTTTCCCGCAGTGGACAACAAATGACGACATCATGGCGGCCATTCGTACAGCTGGAATATGTAACGTCGATCGAATCAAATTTTATGAAGTTCAAAAAGGCGGACAGTCAAAAGGGTGAGCTACTGTACACCAGGATCTCCATGTGAAGATATTATAGAAGTAATTAGAGTTGAGGTACAGATCAACTATTATCTAATAGATTGGCGGAACAGGCTCGAGGGGCTGAATGGCCTACTCCTGATCCTATGTAAGACGAAGAATTTCCGAAGCCAGTCCGTGGCTGCGCTTGAATGATCATAGTAAGCGCTCTCTGGGACGCTACCCTGCCTGAGAGACCACGGTATAAATTCAAGTTGTTGTTGTTACTGTTTTGGTGGCAAAAAGTAAACTGTTGTGTTGTCTTACGCAGATTTGTTAAGGTGTGTTTGTCATCAGACTGGGATCTCAATAGACTGTTAGAAATGCTTCCAAAGAAAGAGATCCATGGAAGAATTCCTGATGTTCGTTGTTTCACCATGTCAAATCGACAGTACTTTGAAATGCAGTTCATAAATGGTAAGTTTGTTGACTGGGCATATTGAATAAAAATTCTGCCCAACAGGTGGCTTTAGGAGAACGTAAGTTGACTAGACTACGAGTTACCAGCTTTTGGCGTAAGGTCAAACACCTGTACTTTCTGTTCAGCAAATTCGACTAATTCAAATCCATTTGCTAATGTAAGTCCTGCTTGTTCGTTTCTCTTCCTTTCCAAAATAAAGTCTGTGGGATTGTGGTCTATCAGGCTCTGAATCTTTTAGTGTTTTTAAAACAAAATTATGGTATGTGAGATTTTGTTTTTCAACTTGCTCGAAATTACGATTCACCTTGCAAATAATGTACCCTTTTTAAGATCGAGTCTTAGAGTGCATAAACCAGCTATGTGGTTCAACTTTGCTTGCGATGTACCCATCAGTTCTTCGTTTCAAATAAATGGGAATATTTTTGGTTTGTGTCCTTGCTTGCAGCAATGGAAAATTCCAAGTTGCACTTACCCGACGAGGAAGGGCAGGAGGATTATGATAAAGATGATCCCGAGAAAAGTGACAACGAATCTCTGCCCGACGCTTTGGAAGAAGCCACTGAAGGTGCGCTTAATCTCTCCTCAGTATGTTCTCAAATTGCTCCTAGCTACCTCGTCACCCTTCGAAGCACTCACTGCGCTTCAGTTAACTCATTGTTTCGATGTGTATAGATGCGTTATTAAATGCAGGTATTGTTTATTTTTATTCGACAGATCCCGACTTTGAAGAGGAAACGCCTTCGCCTTTCCAACAGCCGGTTGTGAAACTCATCAGTGAAGCCTGTCATCCTCCCTGTCCTCCTCCCCCCAACGTTATGTTGCGTCACTTAATTCCATTGGGATTACCAGCCGGGAACCTTCTACCTCCTGGTCTTATCAGACACAGTCAGACTTTAAATACTCCTCATGGCAACCTTCCCACCTTCCTAACACCAGTCAGCACAGGACAGACTGTTTTAGACAGTAGCACGAATCCACAGCAGGGTTACTGTGCTTATACTCTGGATTACAGAATACCAAGAAGGTGAGAATTCGGTTTGTTATCTTTATGACCACACTGTCCTAAGAATAGGTTTGCACTGAATGGGCTTCTGCGACTCGAGGTAAATACCTCCGTGAAAGGCCGTATGCAAATGTAATTTGTTGTTGTTGTTGTTGTAGCCGTATGTTTGAAATATACAATTGAAGACCTAAGTGCATTATGCAGGCAGAATTGAACCATCCATTTACTCCTCGTTGAATCTATTTACAGAGGATTAAGGTCTTGGAAGCGCTCCAGGACGCTACTCCACGTGAAGGGCGTTATATAAATGCAAATTGTTGTTGAATTACTTCCGAGCTACCTTGGCTGTCTTCATAGCAGTCGCTGGGCTTCAGAGTAACTCGTTATGTGATTTGTTTCCTCACACCACTGGAATTTTTTCCCTTTATTTTAAGGAATATATTATTTCCGAAAGGAGGTATGATAGCATTGTTACGTCGATGCTTTAACTTGCTGCACTGCCAAAATATCTGATCATGCTTGTGCATCCTGTTTTTTAATATTCATGGCTGTGTGTGTGTGTGTGTGTATATATAATGTAGATATATATATATTTGAAGTCTGAAGCTTATTGGATGCATTTCTTCCACAGGGAAATGCATTTTCCAGAGAAATCGCCCAATACAATGGAGTTTGTTACCGAAATAAACAGAACACAGAATTTTCCACCGAGTGACGGGTCTGTGGTGAGCAAAGGTAACGAGGTGAAGCCATTTCTTTAGCTTGCCATTCCGCCCTGTGCACATTCTAATAAAACATCAACAGTGGTGCATTTTCGCATGAAATGTAATAATAAAGGCCGTAAAGTTTTACTAGCTAAACTAACAAACTCTAACAGACAACTGGATTGAATTAATTCCAACTAGGAGCGCAATGGTCTTTGAAATATTTAAAGGTTGTTACATTTACCATAAAATACCACTTTTTATCCGATCATTAAAAGGCACTTCAATGTCTTCTAGAACTTTGATCGCTATTAATTGTATCTCATGTACAGGTAGTTTGCACACAGCAAACTATGTTCTGCCATTTTATTAAGCAACTTAGAAACTTAGTGAGCATACGGGTTTGACGTTTCCCTCTTCTGTTCCAGATGGCCATTCAAATGATTATGGGACTCTAATTAAACTGGTTTCCTTAGTTAAGCAATCAAAAGCAATTGCACAGGATGGATACAGGGATTCACCAAACTGCACTCCAGAGAAGCCTCACAATGAAGAACCCAAACCCAAACCACACGCCTCGGGATCGTGGTAATATATCTTTTATTTCTTGTCCAAAGGCTCGCTCAAAAGATACCCACCCAACTGGATCAAATATAAACTTGTAGCAATGGTTTAGATGTTTGTAGATGCTGCAAGCTCCCAGATCACAACTTGACAGGCAAAGGCTTCAAATCAACGGCTTTCCTGGTTTAAAATTGCTCCAATTGATTGGTTATACTTGAAACGTCTCAAAGACGTGTTAAGGCACTACATCAAATGCAAGGATTATTATTATTTTACTTGCAGAGACACTAAATATTCTTGGAATCAAATTTTTTTTGCCCACAAAATACAGTCAGTTCACTTTACAGTGTATCCAGTGAAGCGCTTTGAGACGTCTCAATGCCGTGATCAGGCGCTACATCAAGTGCAAGGATTATTATTATTTTAACTATGTTCTCTCCCGTTATTAAATGGCTTTACAGATATTTGTAGTACTGCGGATTGCCTGACGATGGTGCTAAGTTCTTAGAAGTCACTGGTCTCATGAGCGAGAATACAATACATTTATACTGGCTTTAAGCTGGCAGTAATTCACGTCAAATATGCCATAGAAATGATGGGTTACTTGTGATCTGAAGCAATATGAATCAGACGTGTGCAATGTAAGCTAAGGAGCGTGTAAATTGTACTGTGTTCACCCACAAAATACACGGTCAGTCCACTTTATGGTATACCCTGTGAAGCGCTTTGAGACGTCTCAACGATGTGATAAGGCGCTATGTCAAATGCAAGAATTATTAATATTATTATTATTCTGTTCGTCCTTCAAAGATTTCAAGCTCTTGGCTGACATTAAGTAAACAATCTTATATTTTTTTTAATACATAAAAAAAGGGAGAAGGAGCTTTCAAGGAAAAGAGAAAAGCGGAGATCGGGCGAGAGGAGCGGGAGTCGGAGAGATCGTTCTAGAAGTCCGGGTTCCCACGAGCGTTATTACCGAGAGAGAGAACCCGATTACGATCGAGGGAGACAGCACAGTCATCAAAGAGATCACTCTCCACACAGGGATTATTACCCAGAGAGAAACCGAGAACAAAGGGACAGCTGTGGGAAAGACAGACCCTGTGATTCACCCAGGTATTCCTCCAGAAGTAACGAGTCCTGGGATAAGTATCCACCAAAGACTAGTCAAGGACAAGATTACACTCAAGAAAAATATTGTGGAATAAAGCCGGACAAAGACAGAAATTACCGATTTTAATGGTACGTGTGTGTACTGTACCTTGTTTCCTCGAACTTGTGAGACCTCTGTGTAGAAGCTTCAAAAGCGATCACAAATAAATCAACACCAAGAGTGTTAAACTCTAATCTTTCTTAGAAAATCTGACTATTTTCAAATTGTCTGTTATAATTCATAATTATTATTATTATTATTATCCTGCAATTTTTTTTTTGGTGGGGAACAAATTATACCTGTGGCGATTATTGGGAAAGGTTGAGAGTTTTGAAATTGTTAAATAAACAAAGACGCATTTGACTATTACTGTAGGAGAGCTCAGTGTGTATCATAGTATGTCGAATAATTTTTACGTTGCACTTTGTTGTTTAAAAGAAAAACCCTGTCGAATTTGGGTTTGTGGTTTTGTAGTGGTGTTAGTTGCAATACTACCGATGGCACCCATACCTTTGACATTGAAACTTTATTCACTCTTTAACACACTCACTGTCTGATTGGAAACGGCAGTGGTGAAGGTTTGGACCGCAGAAGGTAGCGTGATTGGTGTAACCGTATCCACTGATAATGTCATTTGTGTTCTGCAGGTTTGAAGAAAGTGCAGAAAAGAATCTTTTTTTTTACACACATATTAAAACAAAAAGCACAGACTCAAGAAAATTGATTGTGCTTCTGAAAAGAATTCAAACTATTCAGAACACTAGAAATATTGGATCTTAATTCCAGCTAAATCAAACTTGGAAAGGATCAGTGGTCACTGGGAGAACACTGGACAGACTTAATAGCGACCTATTAAGATTACCCCATAAAGACACCAGCATTTTCCCTCTTCAGACCAACTTTTCTTTGTCTGCTGAAGTGTTGATCTTGCTAGGAGGTTGACTGTGTTATCTGCAAATTGTATTGTATCGATACAATATTAACGGGGGGAAAAAAACGAATTGTTTTCACTTTTATTTTAAGTCCCACACTTATTCTCATGTATTAAGTGGTTCAAGAACTCAAAGCGTCACCGTAGAAAAGTCTAATTCCTGCTGGAGGTGAATGCCTACTCGCTATATTTTTCTTAGCAGTATTTGCATTCTACTTTTGGAATTCACAGTTAAAAATATTGCAACACCTTTGATGCGTTTAAATTGTATTTTGGTCGAATGTTTGTTCGAAACCATTACCAGACCAGCTTGCAAGCGAATAACAAATGATGTGTGTCTGTGCAATTTGAGTCATTAAACATGAATTTTAATGTTAAAAAGTATGAAGTTGAGAAGTAATACATTGGGTACGGACAGAAATTAAATGCTTTTTAACTCATGTCCACTTGTCGATTACTTACTCGATTTTTTATATATATATATATTCCTTATTTATATATATATATATTCTTTATTGATACAATATTGATCTCTGTTCTGATCGGGAAGCTGTGGTTCCCAGCCCCTGAGTGGGTGGAGAGACAATTTATGGACTGTCTGTCTGTCTGAAAGATTGATGCAACACAGCTGTTGATGCTGTACGTCTATTTTGTTTGACTGTACAAGTTTTGAATGTACAAATCCCCCCCCTCTGCTTAAGGGCAAATGCGAATTTGGCAAGGTTAGTGTTTTTTCCTCCCTTCCCCTCTTATTTTTCACCCTTCCTCCCCCAATACACACACCCACCCACACATACACAGAGGAGTGAATTTAATCATTGGCTACATTTATTATGAATAATGTGGCATGTCATCGTGCACTTGGTTTCTATGCTAAAAGACTGTAATGTGGTTGTTCCTTAACCTGGTTAAAAATCTGTCCGCAATAATAGACTTTGTCATTTCGAACCATGTTAGACTGCAACTTTGGCGGGTGTTTTAAGGTGAATTAAGTATTTCGCCCAAGGGGTCTATTGACTTGACATTAAAGCATATTGAATTAAGCGTTTTCCCCAATACAATAATTAAGCCTCCTTACTGTGTTGTGCTGTGGAACACTGCCCTGCTTGAGGGGTGCTATATAAATGCAAGTTGTCGTTGCTGCTTATCCCAACAACCAGAACATCGTCCAATTCAAGCTCCAGTTTATTCTTTGTGAAACCAGTTATGTCACAAACACTGAAGTAACGTGCATTGATAACCAAAATCCTTTTGTCTTTGCTTTTGTGCAGAACGCGATTGCTCTTAAAGAGAAGACTGGGGAGCTCAGAATCCTGCACTGTGGTATCTCGTGTTTACCGTTAAATGGCCGTTTTTTTATTTTTACTTGGTTCAACAAACCCAAAGCAGCTCCGTAAAAATGCACTCAAACACTTATTCTCAGTATTCATATTTTTTTTAAAAAGCGCGAAAGTTTTGATCAAAAGCATTTTAATATGAATGTAGGTCAACTTGATGCTCTAGTGCGTGCGTGTGTGTGTCCAGATTGCCTCTATTGGAATATATAAGAGCTGATATTTAGTTTAGAGTTTATATATTGCTTTGAAATGCTTGACATTGATCAGCAGTTCCAGAAAGCGATGGTTTAGATCTTAATTTAATCGCAACCTCTGACCAGGTTTCCGGTGATGTAGAGTACTTTGCTGCACGACTTGACAAGTCCTAGAACTTGCGGAAATTGTTGTAGATTTTCCCCCGGGGGCATTGCTGTATTGCGGTCTTCTTATTTTCACACTGGTAATACTTGGTGGGCCTGCCTCGGATGGGATAGGTGCCGTCGCGAGCGTGCTTGCAATATCTGGAGTCGTAATCTGCAGGGGCGTTCGCACTCTCGCAGTTTCCGGTGGTCGAATGGTAGAGCAGGTCGGTGGGACACTCCATGACGCGCATTCTGCCGCTGGAGCATTGGAGGTAGGTGGGGACTGGCATCGGGTACTTGCCGTCCGCTTGCCCTTTGCAGAAGTTGTTCTCAACTAGGTTGATCGTCGGAGAGAACCTCGGAGGCCAGAGGCATTTGTTTTCGGTGGCGTTGTAGACGGTGCCCCTGTAACACCTCTGGATGTTGGTGCTCGCGTTGCCGCACTGGTAGAAGCTGGCCACCGCGCACGGCACTGGGTAGACGCCGTCCCTCTTGCCGCGGCAAAATTTCAGGTCGGGGCAGAGGTCGACCGACTCCGAGCCCGGTGGGGCTTGAGTTGTGGCCAGGGGTGAGGTGGACCCGGCTGAAGAGGTGGGGGGAAAAAAAACAAAAGAACATTCCGACTTAACAACCCTTGCGCTTGATGGAGCACCTCGTCACCTCATTGAGACGCGTCAAACCGCTTCACGGAGCAGACCGCAACGTGGAGTGACTGCGTATTTTGTGGACGAGGCTTCACATGAAAGAGCCGCAGTCTCGCAGACACGATTACTTTTAACTATCGTCGCGTACAGCAAATTAATTCCCCACGAGCTGGAAATTCTACTCAAAGCTCCAGTGATTATTTGTTCTAAGAAATACTGTTGGTTTGTTTGATGTTCTTTGCACTGAACGAGAGAATTCCCGGCAGCGCTTTGTACTGAATGCTTTTTACCTGTTGTATTTTTTGCAGAATCAGAGAGCAGAGACTTCAGGGTGTTTATTAGGGGCGATGCTCCCTGCTCACAGAAAGTTCCTTTGAAATCATCCGTGTCTATCGACCACACCATTGCACCTCCAAAGTTATTGTTTTTCAACCACTCGACCTGAGGGGATCAAAGTCATTCAAAATACTTTTTTCTTTCTATATTTTTTTTCTCCTCTCGTTTAAATCAGCCAACGCAACCCACCAAAACTAAACACCAAACATTTCTTTTGAACCTTACACGAAAACAGTTTGTGAGGTAAACTTTGATTGAAAACCTTAAGTATTTTTTCCAACGCTATTACACACATAGAGACAACTTTGCTCCAAGTTCCTTCAGGCTTAATTAACAGTATTCAAGTTTAGGATATCGGGTTCAATGTTTCAATTCAATTTCAATTCAGTGCATTAAATGGAGACATAAAATGAGCAATCAAACTTTTATATGATGATCCTTACATTTGATTTAGTGCCTTTCACATCGGGAGGATGTCTCAAATTGCTTTGTAGAATTTATTGTAAAGTGCAGTGGCTGTGTATTTCAAGGCAGAGGCAGCAGCCAACTTGCGCACAGCATTGACCCACAAACAGTCATGAAGTTGTTAACTAATTTTAAGAAAGAAGAAAATCTGTATTTTTACAGCACTTCTGTTTCGGGGATCTTGTAAAGTATTTTACATGTGTTCTGGTCAAGTGTAGTGACTCCTTTGTAAGCTGTGTTGGGCTGCACAATTGGGTATATATGCAAAAAGGGGTAGGAGGGTGACCTGAAGGCGCAGGCAAGAATGGGTGTGGGGGTGGGGGGCGAGGTGAAGGGACTTTGGAATGGAGTTCCACACGTACTTTCTTCTTGTAGCTTGTGGCATCATCATACCCGACCCACTCGTTCTCCTTGTAAGCGTACGGAGCATTTTGATCCTCGATCCATTTTCTCTCGGCGTCTTTCAAAAAGTCACAAACCTGTTGATGGGGAGGGAAGGGGGGAAGGGGTGAGGGGGGTGGGGGGTGGAGAGAAAAAGGTGCACATTTTTTTCTAACAAAAAAATAACATTTTTGCCCCTATTTTAAGGGAGAAGCTCGTACCCTAACGCGGAAAGGCACTCGTTGCACAAAGCTGTTGAGGACAGCATTACTGCTCACCAGGGAAGTAGGTTGGCTGCCAAGAGTCTCAAAGGTATTTCACCTGCTTCTCCCATAAGATCAACCCACGCAGCCAACCAAGAGTCCCAATCGCTGGCTGGTGAGTAGTAATAATAATAGTAATAACAATACTAATCCTTGCACTTGATACAGCGCCTTATCATGTGGCTGAGACGTCTCTAAGCGCTGCACAGAATAAACCGTCCAGCGAATTGACTTGTGTATTGTGTGGGCGAAATGGTAGAGTGGTGCGGAGTGCGTGGTGGCAAGGGTTCGGAACACGCAAATACCCTCAATGGTTAAGCCTTTCAAAACACACCTCGTAATAGGCCAGGAATCCAGGGACCTCAGTGCATCGGCCTGGCTTTGCTGGCCCACATGCTGATGCCCCGGGTCTGTTATCAGTCGTGCAGAGCGTGAAGGCGCGACCGTATGTGGCGAAGCCAACCAACAGTTTCTCGGCGGGAGCCCCGTGTTTTATCCAGTGGTTCATGGCGTACTCCTGGAGGGTAAAGGTTTAATTAAACCTCGTCACCGATGGGGCCGAGCTTTTCTCACGCTCGGAAAAACTCCGAATGGAAAGTCTCTGAAAGTAAGTGGCCCTTTTCGTACGTACCACGTTAAAGTACACGTCATCGTTTTGATCAGTGGAGCCCGCGTGCAGGGGGCTGTTGTGTCCTGTCAGTTTGTCCCAGGGACCGTGGAAATCGTACGTCATCACGTTGATAAAATCGAGGTGCCTGTGCAGAGTTTAAAAAAAAAATAAACCAGGTGCTGTGTTAATTGTAGTCGAGCGTGAAGCGAAATAGGGCCGAGGCATTTAGGCATCGTGCTGCTACTTGCGATATTAAGGAACGGTCTCTGCACTTGACAGCGATTCCCCGTGAAGCGCTTTTGAAACGTTTTCACGTTGTATCAACTGGAAGAATTGTCATTATTTACATTAATTCCGGTAATAATTGTAATAATCCTCGCATTCGATGCAGCGCTTTATCACGTCTTCTAGACGTCTCAAAGCGCTTCAGAGGATATACTGTCAGATGAATTGACTTGTACGTCTTGTGGGCGAAACATACTCGCTTCCTTCCAAACCTTGGCACCGCTGTCGTGAATATTTCTAGAGGACAGGGGGCGTTCTTTCAAACATTCTGTGTCCGCTCCTGTTCGGGCTGTCGTGGTGTTTGTTCCGATGTGTGGAGACGTACCTTACGGGGTTCCCACTCACTTGGAAATCTTGTCTATTTCGTAGCCGGCTTCGATCGTCCTTATCCCAGCGGCCACTGCAGCCGTGAGCAGCAACCTTGGCTTATTACGTCTGAGAGCTTCGCTCTTAAATTCCTCCAGCAATTCCTGTGTATACACAAGTACAGCATTGAATCAGCAACAACAACAACTTGCATGTATATAGCGTCCCCGCAGCAGCAACGACAACGAATTACGAATGCATAGCACCTTTCAGAGGAGAGATGTGGAGGTGCACATTGTGAGGGAGGTGGCATGGGAAAGAGAGGGTTGAGTAAACCTGATGGGTCTTGGGCTTTTTTTTCTCCTTCCAGTCTATGTACACCCAGTGTTCCTGGGCTTCGAAGGAATCCCTGCATTTTACCCTCCTTTCCCCATAAAAGGAATAGTAACAGGTACTGTCTCAATGGGTACGTTCTGTGTGGGTGAATCTGTTCACGACTCTGGATCCAACGGCAGTGCAATTGAACGTGAACCATTCCTTGAGGTTGGATATTCCTTGGTGCGAGTGTAATCGACACAATCTGATTTCGCTGATGAATAGAGCGGAGTCGAAGGTTATATGTGACACACCTGAACCAGCAGGGTGAAATGCTGCTTGTCTTCCGGTGGGCTTCCTCTCGACCCCGGGTATTCCCAGTCCAGATCTAATCCATTAAATTTGTATTTCCTCAGGAATTTAATGGATGAATTGATGAATATTTGGCGATTGTCTGGCATAGAAGCCAAGGCAGTGAACCTGACAGAAACATGAATTGAAATAAGGAACAAATCGCAATATGACAAAACTGCGTCATTTTGCCTTTTTTTTTTCAGGACACGGTTCTCTACACCAGGTAGCGAACAGCTGCAATTGGTTACCAGGAAAGGTGGTGGCAAAATTTGCAGAGCAATGGGGTAAAAGCAGGGGGAGTGGGGCTAGTTGGTAGCGCTCTCAAAGAGACGGTACAGGCACGATGGGCCGAATGGCTCCTTCTGTGCTCTATGATTCTGTAAGTCAGGGAACATTTGATGGTGTTATACGAAGCTTTACTTTGATTATCGTGGTACAATGAGAACAAATGGACCAAAGGGCCTTTTTCATCCAACCTCTTTGGAAATGAGACTTTATGTTATACTTTAGGTACATTCCCCCCACCACCACCGCCTCCCAAATTCAGACTCACTGTAACACGAGTTTGTAGAATAATTAGTTGTTTACCATTCATAAGAATCTTACTTTTCAGTTCCGAATGTCCAGCCGCCAACGGCTAAGAGAGTCTTCAGGTTCGAATTCCTGCGAAAAGGCGAGAAAATATCCTCATTTTTATTTTTTTTCAAAAAAAAAAGACCCAATTTTTGAGCGTTAAATATTTCAAAAGATTTTATTTTTCGGAAAACAAAAATGGTCTCCTCGAGTTCCCATTTGCTCGAGTTCTACATTTTTACAGTCGTTTTAGCCGAACAGTCACCCATTGAGAATATCGGCAAATAGAATTTATTCTGAAGCGAACATGCGACTAACAACCGGGTTCCTGCTTGCTGTTAGGTAAACAGAGATGCAACAAGATGTGTTAAGCGACAGGTGATGGTTACCTTTTCTTAAGGTTATTGAACGCAACTAAACGCTCTTCCTCGTCCTTCTCCTGGGCAACTATTTGGTGATCCTCCCCGATGGTGGCAAAAGCAAACACGAGATGTGTGCACAACTTGGGGTCAATATCTTTCGGTAAGAATTTACAGTCTCCTCTCCTGTGGGCCCAGTTTGTGAAGTAACAAACCAGTTTGTAGTCTTTGCCTAATACTGGTTTAGAATGGGTTACAAATTAGTTGAGTGTTCCCAGCGACTTCGGTTTTTATTCCAAAAGCTTTTTGAGATTTTCTCCTAGGTGAAAGGTACTATTTTTCGTACGTTGTAAGAGGAGGCAATGGATCTGGTTTGCATTCATTCTTAATTGATTTCTGAACAAGGAATGTGCAGTCGCTGACTCTCTGAAACATTGAAGAATTGCTGAAGAATTCGTTATCGAATGTCTGGAATTTGGGGGTTTAGAAATTCAGATATTAGTGGCTCAGAAATGCAATAAATGCGCATTTCTAATTAAGAAACCTGTTAAGAAACGCTGCAAATTAGATCCCAATTTTAAAATGCTCGATCATCTGAAACAAGTAAATGCATCAGTGGTGAAACATAGAATTATTCACCATAAGAAATTTAAGGACTGAAAGGTTAGAGTGTATCACAGCTTACCATTGTACAATTGGAAGCACAGGATCAATCCCACTGAAAAATGAACAGGAAAAACATGAATCTTAAATGGCATTTTGATGTTTATAGATGCTCAGAACTATTCCTGAATTTTTTTAACAAAAACACTTTAGTTATAGGTACGTAGTTTGATTATCGCGCTGGGTATTTTGTGCGCAAAAACTGTCATTTAATTTTTTGGGGGGAATCATGCAGTCTGTAAAGAGTCAGGGTTAACATTGCACTCACCACCCCAGAGAAGCAGCTTTGTCATATTGTTGATTGCAGTGAACGAAGACTTTCATGCACCTTCGCACAGGTAGCACTGTCGAAATTTGGTGCCAAGTGTAATGGAGCACAGGAAACATCTACACCTGATGCCCAACCATGGGCAGATAAAGTTTGAAGCAGAGATTGGATTGGAATGAACTCACCATTATGACCACATGTTGGAGACCGGCGAATCGTTGGAGAAATCGTTTCTCTGTTTAAAGTTCGAAGTTTACATCCATCATTCGCCACATGAGTGAGAGAGCTGGCAATCTCGAGCGTCCCTGGTGGCGAGAGGGAGACAGTTGGAGCAAAGGAACATTACCAACAGAACCAGAGTGAATATCAGAGGAAGCGTCACCTAGGGCTGGTCTGCTGTGTCTCCTTGTGGTCTGACAAGCTCCAGTTCCTGCTTGTCCACCCGCACAGCTGGAGATGGTGGGTGATGTCAAAAACCCATAGAAAGAAGCAAAGCAATCAGCACCTTTCACTTTTATGTTAAAGATTCCCTGCAGCTTTTATTTCTCTCCACAAAGGTCAATAGTGTTGACCGAAATTAGTTACGTTGCCTTAAGTCCGAGTGGTTCAACATAGATTGCATCAGTTTATACTCACCCCAACCCTTTGGGGAAAATTGGGTAGATTTCCACAATAAGCTTTGTGCTCAGAATATCTGGTTCCATTTCCTGCATAAATAACAGGTTAGACTTGCGGGAAACTTGCTGATTTCCGGTTGATTTTGGGTGATGGGTGGACATTTAAAAGGTTTCACCACAATCAATCCTGTGGAATTATAACTTTTTTTCCTTATCTTTGAAAACATGGCTTTAGCAGTTAGGCAATGCTAATCCAATGTCACCCTCCCGGGTGCATCTTGACATTCCACCGGGAGTTTTGCCAGTTCAAACAGGACACTTTGCCAAGTCCCTTCAACGAGTGGACCCTGGCCTTTTTCCTCCTGGAGAGACTGTCACAGCGGGACACAAATCCCAGAGTTCTGATCAAGGGTTACACACCATTAGTGGATTGTATTCTCTCTTCAGATAACGGGACCTGATATGCGCCAATTTCCAACAGGGGGTTCTTACTAAGCAAATCCCGACTCGCGGGAAGTCAGCTCGGAGGCAACCTGCTTTCATTGCTTTTTGGCCACCGTATGCTATCATGGCTTGATATTTTGCCCACAAAATACACAGTCACTCCACTTTACAGCGTGGAGCGCTTTGAGACGTCTCTACGACGTGATAAGGCGCTCAATCAAATGCAAGGATTATTATTATTATTATTCACTGATGCTCAGAACCATATGTTGATTGCTGAGTTTTGTGCTTCATAGGGAGTACAGTCACCTTGCCATGAACATTGACCACTCTTATCTCCTTCAGGCAAACGCAATCTAACTGGACCGACCCAGACACGTCCCTCTCCCTTTGCAATATTATTGGCTACAGCTTAGGCACGATTGCAACCCGTGTGCGCTTTGGAGTAAACAGTGCCATTGACACAAACATTGTGATGTGTTACCGGTTTCCTGCCACGATTTGAGCAGATGTGTGGTTTGGCCTTCCCAGATATCCCCTTCCATTCATTTGCTCTCTCACTCGTTTATTCGCTCACCCACCTAGTCATATAATGGCCCTGAGTGCACACTCAGTAACATCTGAGCCTAAAATTTCACCTAATCACAGTCTACGACATCATTTTGTCTGAAAGTGTAAGATGCTGCCATATTGTGCAGAAACAGCCAATACCAACTATATCTTCGTGTCACGTGCATTCATTTTAATTTCCAACAAGAATAATTGTTTGTTGTATAGCTGTTGAGACTAAGCTTTCATTACAATTTTCCAAATGTTTTTCTCACTATTATCTGCGTTTGCCTATAAATACCCAGTCGCTAGCTACTCTTTGCAATAAAATGCTGTGAAGCGCTTTCAGACCTGTAACTGACGTGATAAGGCATTATGTCAATTGCAAGGATGATTATTTTTATTATTATTATTTGCTCAGTTATCCCAGGCTCGGCAGTAACTGATGGTTTTATATTTATCCGGAGGACAGTTGTATGTAAACGCTTGTTATACTATTTGACCCCTGTGGTGTGTATAGATAATCACAGGACAGCACAAGACTATATCACTGCATTGTGTGAGTTACTGCAGTGGAGCAACGATAGAGGCTGGAGGGTTCATTAACATTTGGATGATTACCATCTGGATTGTTGTGGCAAAAGTCTGTATCGTAGACCTTTGGCCAGTCACAGCAATCACCATTGGGATTGTAAGACTATCCCACTGGGACACTGCTAGACACACATAATTCCATTGGAGCATTGATAGAAGGTGATAGGATCATTTGGGTTCACATCAGGCTTCTTGAGGCAAAATTATGGATCTTAAACTGTGGTGCTAGTTGGTTGTGAAATGCCTCCTGCGCTATCTGAAGTCGTGATTGGCTGTGAAGTGTCCTAATTATATTTATGCACCTCAGCACATTCTCCCGATGTGAAAGGCCCTTTAGGTGCAGATCCCTTGGGATGTCCTCCTGTCATGAAAGGCGCTATACAAATGTAATTTGTTGTTGTTTAAAAATATAATCAGAAAGAGGAAGGAATTTCTCCTGAGCAACAAGCCCCCCAGATAAAATTTGGTCATGACTGTTTACGGTTCCATTGCTGTGTGCAAATTAGTGACTGAAGAGGAAGATCTTCAGCCATGATCTGAAAGACGAGCAGGTGGAGGCAGGGAGGAGGGATTGGGGGGGAGAGAGTTCCAAAGCTTTGCATGCAACACATGACATGCAAATCTAAAAGGATTTGATATGTGTGGATTAAAGGATAGACCCACTTTAATGCAAAGAGAGCTTTGTGTAGGCATACATAGGCACGTGATAAGGCGCTACATCGAATGCAAGGATTATTAAATGGGAGGATTGTTATGTCCTCAACCTTGCGATGCACAGCACGAACAAGTAGGTTGGTCCAAATTGTGCATTGTTCTTATCTCTGTGTGAGTCTGAGTGTTTGATGATGTATATGGGTTTCCCTTGTATCACAATTCACATCATACTGACCAAACCGGTAGCGGAACGGACCCCACGACTCAATAAAACTCACTGAGTTCAACTTTGTGCACGTTTCATTGCTTTTATTTGCTCTAATCTAACTGGCATCCGCTTAGTCTACACAAATATTTGTACTCGAGAGGTGGGGTGGAGGGTTGGCGACTTGTAGCCTCTAAGGCCAATTGCAGCATTTGCAGGACTCGTCGAAGACTAATCCGTTGGGGCAGGTCTTTTCGAAGGTCTTCCCTCCGGCACATTCGTAGAACTTATTGCTGGCGTCTGGGTGAGCGTACACCCCGTCAGGCTTTCCATCGCAGAAGCTTCCGTCCCCAGGACCACCCCCACCAGGGGTTGTGGTAGTGGTTGGACCCGGGCTGGGGTTTGGTCCAGGGGTGCAATCTGCAAGGGAAGAGTTATTAAAAATCGTAAATAACAACAACAATAATAATCCTTGCGTTTGATGCAGCGCCCTATCACGTCTTCGAGACGTCTCAAAGCGCTTCACGAGATACACTGTAAAGTGAATTGATTGTATAGTTCGTGGGCGAATCGTTAAGTGAAACCACTATGTCACCTTTGCAAAAAAAAAACACATCAAAAAGAGTCCTGAAACGCCGAGATGACTTTTAAGTCAAAAGAAACGTGTTGTGTGTCGTCGGCAGAGCTTGAGGACGGGTCGAGGTTTCACGGAGAAGCAATTTAATGTTATGGTTTTGTGGGTTTGACTTTAACACCTCAATCGACAAAAACAACAGCAAAATTACGTGTGTGTGTGTGTGTGTGCGTGTGCGTATATGGCGCCTTTCACGTCAGGAGGACATCCCATGGCGCAGGACAGTCAGAGTTTCGGACCCGAGCTGGGGGTCGGGATTGGGGAGAGTGATCGAAAGCACGGTCGAAGAGGAGTGTCTTGAGATGGTGCTTGAAGGAGGCAAGGGAGGGGACGAGGCAGAGGGACTGCGGGTAGGGGCAGAGTGGCAAAAGGCCCACCCCGCCAAAGGCGCAATACAAATATAATTTTGTATTGCATTGAAAATAGTATATTCATGTTTAATAAACTGTGTCAAATTTATACCATTCCTCATATTAGATACAAAATCCCTTGGAGCAATGTTAGTAAAAATGGATTTGGAATATATAATTGCACTGTGTGTGTGTGTTGTGTGTACAAAAAAAAGACCAGGAACAACCAAGTTACCTTGAGAAATTCCAAGCAGAGAGTTCAGTTTGGAGATCAGAGGATAGCGACCCTGGCTGCAGAAAGAATCAGTGAAATCGTCCAGATCGAGAGTCCACACAAAGGCTCCTCCGAAGCTGTTCTGTTTGAGCCAGGCGACCTGTGGGAGTAAAAGTGCACCAAAAGTGGTGCAGTGCATGAAACAACAACAACAACAAATTACATTTACACAGCGCCTTTCACGGCGGGAGGATGTCCCAAAGCGCTGGACAGTCAGAGATTTGGACCCAAGCTCGGGGTGGCATCAAGAGAGGTGGAGGGCAGGGAGGCTGATTTATCTACTGTTATAATCAATAATAATAATCCTTGCATTTGAAATAGCACTTTATCACATCATCGAGACGTCTCAAAGCGCTTCACAGAATATACCGCAAAGCGAATTGACTGAATATTTGATACTGTACTGCGTGATATGAAACTCAAATTAAAGTACGCCCTACAAAATAAAAATAGTTCTTCGATTCTTACCTTGCCTTCGAAGCTTTTCGTATTGTCATACCCAACCCACTGATCTCCTTTGTAGGCATAAGGCACCTTCTGATCCTCAATCCATGAGGTTTGTGCCCCCTTCAAGAAGTCGCAGATCTGTTCATGGAATAAGAAACGTTGTCAGCATTTTCTTTGCTACCAATGTTATCCGGTTAAACACGTAAGTGTCTGGAGTAAGGAAACTTGCCTAAGGTTTCGGCTTGCCCGGGAATCGAACCCGGGTTCTCTCGCTTGCGAGGCGAGCGTTCTAACCATTACGCTACAGGAATCCATATCCTGCTGGATACATTGCTATGCAGTGACAAACTTATAGTCACCTCATAGTAAGCCCAGAACCCAGCCTCTCTGGTGTAGGTTCCAGCTGGTGCAGGTCCACTTGCTGGAGCTCCCACCCCAGAGTTCGACGTGGAGAGTCTCAAGGTGCGTCCGTACGTAGCGAATCCCACCAGCAGCTTTTCGGCCGGGACCCCATCATCTCTCCAGTATTTCATAGCAAAGTCCTGGAAAGGAAGCACATTCGGCTTGGTGATTAGCATTGGGGAGAAGAGGCTGGGGTTGGGTCTGAAACCAAACAGTAATCGCCTTGAGTTTAATGGTCAATACGCACAGTGTTAAAGTATATCATGTCGCCTTGATCAGTCGAGCCGCGGTACAGCGGGCTGTTGTGTCCGGTTTTGGTTTCCCAGGCACCATGGAAATCATACGTCATCACGCTGATGAAATCGAAGTATCTTTGGAAACACAAATAAGCAGCGACAGCTTAGACTCCATCTCATTTCCTGAACCACATCACTTTCCTTGCATTTGAGATGTCTCAACCATGTTGGGTGATCACCACCCAACCCCCCCACCACCCACCCTTTGGAACTCCATCTCAACGATCTGCCAATCGACTCCTTCAAGGCACGTCTCAAGACCCTCCTCTTCAATCGCTTCCTTCGGTCACTCCCCTACCCCTACCCTTCCTGCCCTCTATACCTCCCGATCCCAACCACTGCTCGGAAACCAAATCCCTGACTGTCCAGGGCCTTGGGACATCCTCCAGACATGAAAGGCCGCTCTACAAATGAAGTTCATTCATTGGCGAACTAGTTAATGTGGGATTTGAAGGAGAGAAGATGTTTACTTAAATCATGTAACCTACTTGCCGAGGAGACCCATTTCGTAGCCGGCATCGATGGTTCCTTTGCCAGCGGACACCGCAGCTGTGACCAACAGACGAGCTCTTCCTGTCGCTTGTCCTTCGTTTTCAAACGCTTCCAAAATTTCCTGATAAAGTATTGGTGTGAGAGGTTAATGGTGGTACGTTAGCCAACTAGTTTCCCACAGCGATGTCCAGAATTAATATAATAATAACAATCCTTGCGTTTGATATAGGGCCTTATCACATCGGTGAGACGTCTCAAAGCGCTTCACACAATATACTGCAAAGCGGCTTAACGGTGTACTTTGTGGGCAAACTCAGCAGTCGATTGTGCATAGTAGCGTCCCACAAACAGTCGTAGATTGATTGACCACATTTTATATTTTGAAGGGATTATTTCTCCCGGAAGACGATTTGCCAATCGACTAGCAACAAGGTCCCTACTTATTGCTAGGTAAACAGAGAGCCTGCGGAGTAAGGAAACTTGCCTAAGGTTTTGTCCCGCACAGAAATCGAACCTGGATCCTTACGCTTGCAAGGCGAGTGCTCCAGCTACTACGCTACAGGACTTCACAATAGAGCGTGATAGCCACACTGGGGGATGTGTTTGACAGGCGTGGGGATGCAGTTACCTTGACGAGGACGGTGAAACGCTGTTTATCCTCTGGAGGACTTCCTCTGGAACCGGGATATTCCCAATCCAGATCCAGTCCATCAAAGCCATGTTTCCTCAGGAACCTGATGGACGAGTCGATGAAAGTCTTGCGATTGGCTGCGCTGGAAACCATGCTGGTGAACCTGGGGAGCAGATTCAGAATTCCTTATTACAGGCACCTTGACAAATACAATCATAATAATAATAATAATAATAATAATAATCCTTGCATTTGATAAAGCTCCTTATCACATCTTCGAGACGTCTCAAAGCGCTTCACAGAATATACTGTAAAGTGGATTGACCGTGTATTTTGTGGGTGAAAGACGGGCAGCCAACTGTGCACAACAGTGTCCTGCAAACAATTGTGGGAGTGAGTGACCAATATATTATTATTTATTGGTTTATTTTGAAACCCATCAACGTGCTTGGGAGCATCCAAACCAAATAGCTGAGTCTTCCATGTATGTATGGGAAATGTTGTTGGTTTGCCCAGTGTGGGAAGGAGCTGCCAACGGCAATCAAATATTCGTTAACAAGAATAAAATATTTCAGCTCTTACCTTTGAGTCCCGAAGTTCCAGCCTCCTATAGCCAACAATGTCTTCAGGTCCTTATTACTGTTGGAAGCAAATACATCAAATATGAACTGACTGTTTTCATTCGATTCATTCTCAATTGAATTGCTATTTATACGCTCCAAAAACAGCTCGTAACCAGTGCAATCGCTGACAGATCTATTTACATTGTACACACTGAGAAATGTTGCCGTCGTTGTCGCAAAATTTAAGCGCAGAAGTAACCTGTTCTTAAGTGCTTGGAATCTCGGATACATAATGTCATCATTCCATTCGTAGGTGGTAAGTTCGTGGTTAGCGGTCATACTGCCAAAGGCGTAGATCAAGTGGGTGCACAGGCAGGGGTCCACATTCTCGGGGAAGAATTTACCGGCAGCCGGTCTGTACTGAGCCCAGTTGGTGTAGTAACAAACCAGTTTGAAGGAAGAGGCTGGAACAACAACAACTTGCATTTAAATCGCGCCCCTCACGCAGAGTAGCGTCCCAGAGCGCTTTAAAGGCAAAACATATGAAGCACAAAGAGTGCCCCCACCCACCCCCACCCCCCGTGATGAAATTAGCAAGGTGAAGGGGGAAAAGTATTGTTTTTTTCATTAGGTTAGAAATAAACTGTGCTTTTCTTTTATTGGATTATATTCGAAAAACGCGATCAAACCTCTTTTTTATTTGGCGCAGTTTTGCAATTAGTTCCCTCTCCTCGATGTCTCATTCCTTCCCTACCCTCTCTGCCTTCTGGCTCTCAATCTAATGAGTAACCTCAGGAAATTATTGACAGACAGGCTTTCAGTAATGCATCTCATGGCTTGGTGGATATGGTGAAGGAGAGAGGGCAGGATAAAAAAAACAGAGCTAACTACATAAGGGCCAAATCCGCAGAAGCTATCACTTACCCAGCTGCAGCTGAAGCAAAAGCGCCAATCCCACTGCAATAGAAATAAGCAAAAGATTAATATCAAAGCACACCCACATTGCCGACATATTATTGCACTCTCGACACAGGCCCTACTGAAAATACTCAACAATTCCAAGCTGCTAAGACGTTCACACATTATTTAGCGACCAATTCTTCCGATAAGCAATGCGAAGAATGGAAATCCATTATATTAAAAATCATAGACAACACACCAGTCCAGAGCCCAGCCATTGCCGTGCAGTGCAGTCGTATCTGTAGCCTGAACGAGGGAGTTCCACTGCGTTTTATACAAAGTAGACGCTGACGTTAAATGTGTTATCGCTGGAGAAATCAAGCACCTGTAATCCATCCCCAAGACTTTGCAATTGATTTTTAATATCAGGTGAATGCTTTCCTCCGTGTAAAAACACATTTTAATCCTTAGGAGCAAAATACCACGTGACATTAACACCTTTGATTTTTGACCTGTAATTTTGAGGTTCCAGGTTCAAACTGCGCAAATGAGACAATACGGGGGAGGTGGGGGAGGGGGGGGGGGGGGGGGGGTGCGGTGTTGGTGGTGGGAGAATGAAATCCTTAAAATGTGAAAAATACCCATTTCGATAAATTATAATAATAATAACCTTTCATTGATGCAGCACTTCATCACATCGTTGAGATGTCTCGAAGGGCTTCACGGGATTTTACTGTGAAGCGCAGTGACTGTGCGTTTGTAGGCAAACAAATTGACTGAAAGGCGAACTGAATGCCAACAGCACTGTGTCCGGTTGTCATTCCCTGAGTCTGAATTTAGGAGGAAAAGACAACCACAACAAGACGCTGGACAGACAGAGTTTCGGACCCGAGCTGGGGTCTGGGGGCGGGGAGGTTGGAGGGCGGGGGGGCGGGTGGTGGGGGGGAAGCATGGAGATTCAAAATTGAAGAGGAGGGTCTTGAGATGGGTCTTGAAGGAGGCGAGGGAGGGGGCGAGGCGGAGGGCCTGCGGGGTGGAGCGAGCAACACAAACTCAATTCGATCTGAACCTCACGGAATAAGAAGCTTTACGGGCAGATCAGTCACTGGGGACGGGGAACCCTCCCACTCAGCTCCTGTTAACCCTCGAAGCCAAAGCCCTAACGGCGAGCTGAACAAGCAGCGGGAAAGCGTGGCAGTCAGCGCTCTCAATGGTAAGGGATGTGGTTTTAGCTGGTAAAGCTCCAGCAGTTACCCCGGCGGTTCCCTAATGACTTGGTGCAGTCTTAAATCGAAATGACCAGCCCGGTTACAAGAAAGTTCTCTGGAAATAAAGCTGCCGTGAGGGTTAAAAAGCACTAAAATCGAGGTCTGTTCTGTTTTATCGTAAGAATAATGTAAGCCGGCAAATGGTAATCTGACAAAGATTGTGACTGATATTTAATTTGGTTGCAGGAAAAAGGGGAAGTTAGGAAATTATTTTTTACTGACACCGATGGTTGTGACATGCACTGTGCAATGTGTCACCGCAAATAAGTGTTGAATCTCAGTGTGTAATCAACGTCCAAAAGGAAATCAGACAATAATAGGAAGGAAAATGATGTAAACGTTACAGGGACTGAGCGTGATTAGTGTGGGCAGCTCGAGTCAGCGAGTAAGTTTTTCTTGATTCAATGATAAATAATCCTTTCATTTGATATGCACACAAGTCGTTTCAGTATTGGGACACTACATTTAATACGACTTATGCAAAGTCCGAGTTATGCCAAACTTGGATAGAATATAAACTCTTGAATGGGACTTGGGCAGATGTAGGACTTAGTTAGACTTATGTGAGTTTTATTGTAGCACTTTTCGCGTTGGGAGAGAGCCTCAAAGCGTTTTGCAGGATATGTTTTGTGGGCGAAACTACACCAACAAGAAGTTACATTTACACAGCACTTTTCACGTCAGACCAAGGCGCTGGACAGTCAGGGATCTGGACCTGAGCTTGTGGTTGGGATCAAGGGAGGGGGAGAGGTAGAAGGGACTGTGGGATGGATTTCCAGAGGGTGGGAGAGACCGAAGGTGGGGTGGGCAAGGCGGGGGACGTGAGGAAAGCCGGAGCCCCATGAGCGTGTTTTTTAATTAATAATACTAGATAATAACAATAATTGAACACCATTCAGAGCGGTTAAGGCTTGTAACCCAATGGAAACAACATGGCAGCAAAGGAAACCTTTCATCATAACCACAGAATTGTTCATGTCAAAATCTCAATTAAAACCAAAAAAAAATTCTGTAAAAGAACAGAAATGAAAGCCAGACACGATACGGTCTTGAAGAAATGTATTTTCAGTTTACAGGTGAATGTGGAGCTATAACGTGGGAAGAGTAACAGCCCATATGAGTGTTTGACGTAGTTAAGTTAACCTTGTGCATTCAGTCAAGGTCACTCACTTAGGTCATTTGCTTGATGTGCCTTTTGGTTACGTGACTCGCTATCAGCAATTAATCATCTCATATGCTGCCACGAAAATATATTTTCATAGAATTTTTGCACTTGCAGAAGAACAGTCACCGCACACTCGACATTAACTACTGTAAAGCTCTTCGGGAGGTTTCTACATGTGAAGCGCTGTTAAAATCTAAGGTTCCTTCCTTCCTTGCATTTTTGATATAGCGCCTTATCATGTCATTGAGACGTCTCAAAGCCCTTGACAGGGTGTATTGTAAAGAGGATTGACTGTACTTTTTTTTTTAAATCGAACACAATTCAGAGCTGTGAGGTTGGTAACCCAATGGAATGAGAAACGAAATGAACCATTCCCCGAAGAGAACGCTTTAAAACAGAACAGACCGGATGTAACTGGACAGTTATCCGCGTGATTGTCTTTAAATTGATCCCATAAAAATAAAAAAAAAATCTGCCGCTGTTTTGTGGAACGTCGCTGTGTGCAATTGGCTGCCGTGTTTCGCCCACAAAATATCCAGTTACACTTGACAGCGTATCCTGTGAAGCGCTTTGAGGCGTCTCGAAGGCGTGATCGGGCACTATATCAAATGCAAGGATTATTATTATAATCAATATTCTTTGTCAGCCTGGCGCAGTTAGTAGCGCTCTCACCTCTGAGTTCCATGTCCAGTTGGAGATGAGATGTCAAACCGAGCTGTACTGAGGATGCTGTGCAATACTCCTAACTGCCGAGCATTGCATTGTCAGGATGCTACTTGTGTTTTATAGATTGATCCTCCCCTCTCCGCGCCCCCGGACACACACACACACACACACACACACACTCACTCGCAATGTGTTCACTCTGGCGATGTGTAAGAAAAAAACAAGGGCCATCTTGAAAGAACTTCCTATATCGCAACCAGTTTTTGTTTGGAAATTTGGAAAGCCCTTGTGCCATAAAAACAAAAGAATTTGCCGGGCGAGAGAAGACCAAGGTCCATCCAGTTCGCCTTCCACCATCCTGGCAGTTGCTTGACACGTCTTGTCCCAAACTATATACTGTATCACGAGATATATATGTCAGCCTGGCCCAGTTAGTAGTCAATTAAGTTACAGTCAATCCACTTTATAGTATATTCTGTGAAGCGCTTTGAGACGTCTCAAAGATGTGATAAGGTGCTATATCAAAGGCAAGGATTATTATTATTACAAAATACAGTTTCCATTAATGTATCGCCTTTCAGAACGGGAAGATGTCTCATAGCTTGTGACACCATTGTGCAATAAGCAAGGGTTATGTCGAAAGGTCTTCTTATGTTGCAAGCTGGTTTGATTGAGCGGTGATAGAAACAACACTGACAGGTTCAGGAATGAGGAATTGATTCAAATATCATACGAGGCTCCCATTGTTTTCCATGTTCGATAAGTAACCTGAGACTTGTATTGAGGGCTGCTTAGAATCACGGTGTCAGCCTGGCTCAACCAGGAGCGCTCTCACATTTGCTGGACGAGAAAAGACCAAGGTCCGTCTAGTTTGCCTTCTACCATCCCGGTGGTCGCTTTGCTTTGGGTTTAAGCCATATGTCAGGATATCGAGCTCATTGTCTAAGGCAACTCCCAGTTCAGTACTGGGGTTGTGTTGCATTGCCAGAGGTGTCATCCGTCACATTATGTTGAGCAGAACTGTTCAGGGATGAGATGTTAAACCGAGTTCAGGTGGGCATCATAGAGATCCTGTGGCGCTATTCGCAAAGAGAAAGGAGTTTCTCTCTCCTGCTGCCCTAACCAACAACCTTCCAAATAAAACCAGTCACTCACTTCATTGGCTGTTTGTGTCTGTCTATGACAACTTAGTGAAAGTTCTTAGCGAACAGTTCATATTCAACTTCTACCGAGAATGCTGGTATTAGGATGTACCACTGGATCTCAGCCATATATGAACAATGAAGCAATTTACTAAGATGCAGGAAAGGGTTCTTTGTGTCTTGCAAATGCATAACAAAGGAAACAAGCTTGCTCACTGTGCCTGATCCCCTGGGGGACCTCAGACATTCAATACAGCTGCATAATGGTGGCACAGGTTTGGAGGAGTAGATTTCAGGACTGACAGCAGGAAGTTATTTTCTTTCCGCAGAGGGTAACCAATGACTGGAATAGATTGATGGGGTAAATGGTTGACACTGAGACACTGAGACTCGTTTAAAAAGCAGCTCGGTACAGTGATGGCGGGTCAGTACGGTGGGTGTTCTGGAGCGATGAGATCGGATGGGCCGAAGGGACCTTCTTCATCTGAGACCCACCTTGTGTTGGTTGGTTTCATCTCATGAACCTCTCAAGTTGGACGGGGCTAAAAAATGTTCAAACTCCAACTCAACCAATCTCTTGGATCCCTCTGTTGGACAACAGGTCAAACTGCATGAACACAACCAGAAATAACCCTTGTGTTTGACGGAGCAAACGTCCACGGCGTCAAAAAGGTCTCAAAGCGGAAATTGCTCTCAAGTGTAGTGACTGCGCACTTGTAGGCAAACTCGATGGCCAATTTGTGCGCAGCAATATCCCATTAAACAGACCGAGAAGCGGACGGCCAATGTTTCTGGGGGGATTGTCGGCCAGGACACCAGGAGAAGGAAACTCCCTCCACTTTTCCAATAGTGCCGTGGAATCTTTAACGTTCACCCGAACAGGTGGTTGGGATCACAGTTTAATCTTCGCTGTTTGTGGGAAGTGTCTGGCACAGGTTGGCTGCTTGGTTTCATTCTAAATTTATTGCTTCAGAGTAACTTGCTGAATTAATATATATTAATTTGATATAGCGTTTCACCCACAAAATACAGTCAATCCACTTTACAATATATACTGTGAAGCGCTTTAAGATGTCTCAATGACATGATAAGGCACTAAATCAAATGCAAGGATTATTATTATTATTATAGCGCCTTATCATGGCGTTGAAAAGTCTCAAGTGCTTCACAGGATATATCGTAAAAGTGCATTGACTGTGTATTTTGTGGCCGATAAAACTACAAAAATACTCACAACACTTTACAACAATTACTTAAACCATTTAGATTCATTGCAAGTTCTTTCTCTCTCTCTCTCTCTCTCTCTCTTTCTCTCTTTCCGTTCCCAATCTCAGGCTGAGCATTGGATTCCGACTGAATTCCTGCGAGTTATTTCTGCCGTTAAGGCTGCGCTTTGCAGATTGACAGATTGACAGATCAATGCTGCACTCGGTGGAGAGTGCATGGGTCAACTATGAAGTGATGTAATAATCCTGGAATACCCGGCAATGTGAAGAGTGGGCTATGCAGGGACATAGGAATGTTCATAGCAATACCCCCAGGTTACATGACTGACATAGAATGTCCACATGCTAGGAATACATATATATATATATATATCAAAGCTGTGTCGCTGTGTGCTCAATTACAATATCCGCAAATAAAGAATTGCAGAGAAAATGTGGCGTAAAAAATCTTCCTTCTTGTCTCTCCCGTTGACCCTGGAATGGTTAAAGAGGATATAGTTTGTCACACGACATGTCAAGTGCCTGCCAAGATGGTGGAAGGCAAACTAGATGGACCTTGTTCCTCTTTTGCCGAGCAAATTCTTATGCCCTCATGTTCTTAAGGAGCTCTGCTTCTAACCCTTGACTTTTGACTTTGCCGGTTACAATTTAAGGAAATGGAAATTCTCTTGCTCAAGAGAATGATTTTCTGGATCTATGAGAAGCCAAACCAATAAAATGCTCATGAAAAATAATACCTCAGAGGAGGCAGCAGGACGTGGCGAGCTCCCAAATCCATTTCAAGAAGGGTTTAAGATTCTACTAATAGAGAAAGATCTCACCAGGCCAAAGAGAGTTCCAGACATTCCTGGGCTGAGTAGCAGAGCGGTCAAGAACATTGTCCTTTCATCCTTCCATCCATTAGAATAATCCTTGCATTTGCATTTGATATGGCGCCTTATTATTGTCATTGAGACATCTCAAAAAGCTTTGCAGAATATACTGTAAAGTGAATTGACTGTATATTTTGTGCCAATTCTGCACAGTACTGTCCCATAAGTTCAATTTGGTTGAAGTTGGATCGTCAAGTTTCTGACGCTCTGATTTGGGGCTGATGGAGGTTCGGATGAGACATTACACTGAGGTCTCGTCTGTGCCTCTTCAGGTGGACATTAAAGATCTCACTAATCGAATAGAGAAGGGAGTTTCTCTCTTCTAGTGTCCCGGTCAACCACTCCCCCCAGATAACATTGCTCACTCACTTCATGGCTGTTTGTGGGGCTATTGACTGCAAATTGGCCACTGTGTTCACCTACAAATACACAGTCACTACGTTTGGCAGTACGATCCTGTGAAGCGCTTAGAGGCGTCTCGACGTTGTGACAACGCGCTGTGTCAAAATCAAGGAGTGCAAGAAAAACCAAACAAACACAAAATGTCAGGCCTCAGCCCACTTTGCAACATGACGCGATCTCATGATCACGAGGGACACCAGGACTTTCCTGCTAACCACGCTGTTTGGCAACGGTACAAAACATTAAAGGGAATTTCAGACAGACTCGACCGGAGTCCAGACAGAAATTTGTATTTTTAATTCAGACAGTGCCTATTCCCCTGTATCGCTGTCAGCAGGTCTGGCCACCAGTGTAGAATGACTGCGTCGTTAAGTCATCTTCTTATATCCACAGTGATGTGTGTGGTCGGTGTCCGAACAGAATACGCAATCGGATTCCTCCCCGCGCGTCCCCCCCCCCACTCCCCCCCCGGGGTCAGTGATGAACTGGAGAAATCATGGATTTAATTCCGAAGCCTTTTGTATTTATTTCTCCCCCCCACCATTGGTGTTCATTGTGGGATGGGGGGGAAACGGAGGGGCGGGGAGGGAAGGGGGTAACAAGCAGTTTGAGATGTTTCAATGATCCCCTGGGTTAAAATTTGTGGTAGTTTGTTCACTCGCTCCATGTGTTAATTAGCGCGAGCGTCTGGTTAAGGGGAACGCCCCCATAAATTTGTTCCCGTCGCCGCTTAATCGATCGACCGCAAAGGGAGTCATAAAACCATCAGGCGTTTGTTTTTTTGGAGTTTTTGCTAAAATAACTTTTAATAAATAATAATCGTTTTGCGTTTGTTTCACGTTTCGAGTGATCCGGTTTTGTGCACGGCACATACACAGCGATACAAACGGAAGGAAAGGCTCCCAGAGGCTTCTACAGAGTTTGGCACCAAGTGTGAGTTCACGCCACTGGACGCTACAGTCTACGCACGTTTCGTTCGCTCAAAAGGCGAGGTCGGACTCCGCCATCATTAAGCGCTCCGAGACGCTACTCCGTGTGAAGGGCGCTATGTATTTAAATGCAAGTTGTTGATGTTGTTGAGGTATCTCAGTATTATTAACATGAGTGTGGGGTTAAAGGCCACACTTAATGTGGGGGTGGGGGGGGGAGGAGTAGGGGGGAAAGGGAGAGGAGAGGGGAGGGGGCTGGGGAGAGTGTGGGGGGAGGAGGAGCGGGTTGGGGGAGAGGAGGGGGGAGGGGGCTGGGGAGAGTGTGGGGGGAGGAGGAGCGGGGTGGGGGAGAGGAGGGGGGAGGGGCTGGGGAGAGTGTGGGGGGAGGAGGAGCGGGGTGGGGGAGAGGAGGGGGGAGGGGCTGGGGAGAGTGTGGGGGGAGGAGGAGCGGGTGGGGGAGAGGAGGGGGGAGGGGCTGGGGAGAGTGTGGGGGGAGGAGGAGCGGGGTGGGGGAGAGGAGGGGAGGGGGCTGGGGAGAGTGTGGGGGGAGGAGGAGCGGGGTGGGGGAGAGGAGGGGGGAGGGGGCTGGGGAGAGTGTGGGGGGAGGAGGAGCGGGGGGGGGGGGGGGGGGGGGGGGGGGGGGGGGAGGAGGAGCGGGGTGGGGGAGAGGAGGGGGGAGAAAAGCATCACATATTTTTTCAAGTTTGCATATTTCGCATTTCTCCCAGAAACCGCCAGAAAAGAATTTGATGAAGTCACAAGATCTATTCAGGCAAAGATCCCCTTTGACACGTGTGATCTCATCCCTCCGGATTATCCCTTCTCCTATCACAGCTTCAAGCTGTGTTTCATATTTTTTTTTTAAAAAAAACATTGTCCCAGTGTCCTGGCCTCAACCACCCCGCCCGGCAACCTGTTCCCGTCGTTAATTATCTCCTCTGGGTAAAGAAAAGCTTCCTGGTGTCTGCCCTAAATAAAATTGCCCCCTTTGCAACTCTAAACCCACGTCCTCTTGTTCTACTGTCTCGCTGCGTCCGAAAGTATTGTAAAATGCTTTAAATTGGTACTCTGAGACTCTGCCCTACTGGAAGGTCGCTGTAGAGATGCAAACTGTTGTAATTTACAATCATAGGCCAGGATTATTAATATTATTATTATGCTATGCCTTTGGCAATAGCAGCTCCTGCCTTCAATGGAGTGGATGGGGGAGTGGTGGGGGAGGGAGACTTAAAATAAACTCCCGTCCTGGCTAACCTCAAAAGGGGGTTGGATTCCTATCTGTCTGACATCTTTGTTGCATCTTCCAACTCTTCCCCCATTCTCCTCCTGTCTCCCTGACCGCATTCTTTCCCGCATTGTGCGGTCCCCTCCTCCGCCTCTCTTCCCTCTCACAATTTCCTCCATCTTTCTCAGTGACCCACCTACCTCTTTCCACATTTCCTACCGATTCTGCTCCCCCCTTCTTCTGGTTTCATCTCACTGAGATACTGAGACTTCCCCCCCCCCCCCCCCCCCCCCCCCCCCGGAGACGGAGACGGAGACGGAGATGGACCTTTATATCTCCCTCTGATGAACTCTCTTCTAATTCACTTCCCAAAGGTTTCAAAAAAAAGTTTCCAAATGTTTCCACTGACCGCCTTCCTGGGCACGAAATGCCAACTGCAAGAGGTCCATGCGCCTAAACCATCGATCGGTTCATAGCAATCTGGTTAAAACAGGTAAAAGTTTTTTTTCATTTTAAAAAAAAACAGCAGCAATTGTTGAATTGACCGAAGTAATTGTGAAAATAACTATAAAAAGTTCTGTCTATTTACATGTCGCACCAGGTTAGGTTAGGTTTTGTGTTGTGTTTTTTTTTCTTTGCATTTCCCACATAAATTAATAAGTTATTAGACGATAAATATTCTGTATAATATATATATTCTTCTGCAATCAGTACTCCGCTGGCCAAATTCCAAACTTGTGAAGTATCTGTCACTCCCTCCCTCTCTCTCTAGCTCTCCCCCTTCCTCTCTGTCTCTCTATCGCTCTGTTCTCTCTCTCCCTCCACCTGTCTCTCTCCCTCCCTCTTTGTCTCTCTCTCTATCTCTCCCTCTCTCTCTGTCTCTCTCTCTCTCCCTCCCTCCCTCCCTCCCTGACTCCCACCCTCCATCCCTCCCTCCTTCCCTCCCTCTCTCTCCCTCAATCCCCAAAGAACCATAGAAATTTACGGCACAGAAGAACGCCAGTCTGCCCCACTCGTGTCTGCGTTTTCCTCGTGTCACATCCTCGGCAAAAAGTGAGCGACCTTATGGACGGGCGAGACCTTGCTTCCCCTCTTGGCTCTGCCGTGTTTGCTCAGCGCGATGTACATTCCCACGTACGCCTTCGACTCATACGCGTTGTAACTGTTGGGCAAGAATCTCTCCTTGAATTTACACTCGTGGTTGAAGTTTGTCTGCAGGAGAAATATATTTTTCTTTATTTAAAAGCTTGGATAAACACGCTCCATAATTATTTGTTTCGTGTCATACTTGGGTGGGACATTCTCTGTGTGGGTGTGGGGGAGGTAAGTCCCCCTTTGGGTGTTGGATGGGAGGGGGAGGTGGGGGCGTTGGTGGTGGGGTGTGAGGGTGTATGTAGAAGGAAGCTCGCTGGACAGTGTTTACCAGTGGCAGAGCTTTCAAAGAACCAATTCATTTAAACACAGTTATAAAGTGGAACACTCACCGTTGAATACAAACGTCCTTTTTTATTCATCGCAATGAAGACCCGGGTCTTCACTCCATACAGACTGACAACTCCCAGCTCCACTGTAGATATCATCAACAGGCCTAAACAGCAAGAGAGATTCATCGCTAACTAGTCTGTGTTATTCTCAGTCGTTGTTCACCCCCCGGGCACCCCCCACCGCTTCTTCACCCAACGCACACTCTGGGGTCTCCCCCACCCGAGCCTTGGCTCTTGTGGAACCCGCGCCTAATACTTTCCGGCATTAGGTAAGCAGAATGCGTCCCACCAGAGAGAGAGAGAGAGAGAGAGAGCGCATTCCATTCCAACAATCTATCTCTAGGATTTCCTTTTGTAGGTGGGATGCCTGGAGCTAAAAATAATAATAATTTAAAATAAAATAACCCGTCTTAAAGACTGGCGAAGGAACAAAAGCATCGAAACCTCCACCCGATTTTTTGCAAAGCTCTTAAAAAAAATTGCATTTGAACAAAGTATCCGTCCTTCGGTTGAGACGCTAAAACCTCACTCCCCGTCTGCCTGTTCAGGGGGACGTTGAAGATCCCACGGCGCTATTCGCAAAGAGAGAGGAGCTTCTCTCTCTCCCGGTGTCCTGCCCAACAATTCCCCAAATGAAATTGGTCACTCACTCCATGGCTGTTTGTGGGACATTGCTGCGTGCAAACTGGATTCTGCGTTTCACTTACAAGATACACAGCCACTCCACTTTACAGTGTGTCCCGTGAAGCGCTTTGAGACGCCTTTGAGGACGTGATAAGGCGCTGCATCAAATGCAAGGATTATTAATATAAGATATCTATCAAGTGGGTAAAAACAGGCCCAAACACACACACACACACACACACACCAGCTCTGTAGAGGGAAAACAAAAACTCATTTAATAATGATAATAATAATAATAATAATAAGCTTTGCATTTGATCAAGCGCCTCATTGAGACACCTGAAAGCGCTTCACAGCATATACCGCAGGGTGCAGTGACTGCATATTTTCTGGGCGAAACAAAGTCCTTTGCAAATAAGTCCCGTTCCCCCTGGTCCCCCGTCCCCAAGTTTCCCATGTTATGAAACACTGCTGACACTGCAACCTGACACTGGTCAGTCTGCTGGCTAATTTTGCCCTGGCATCCAGGCGGTCTAATTAAAACCAATACGAACTGCTTTTCCTGGTTCCTGCTATAATCAGCTGATCTAAACTTGTGCCTCAGCCAAGACAGAATAACCTCCAGCTGAAAGCCAACCGCTTGTCCAAGGTTTCGGTTGATTTCCGTTGGAATTCAATGGAATTTCATCGGTTTCTTCGCCAAGAAAAGCGGCCGATTAAAGCACGGAGCTGTGCGAAAACAGTTCGAACCGGACCGTGTTGTAAATACAATACAATAATAGTAATGATAATCATTGCAATTGATGCAGCGCATTGTCACGTGGTTGAGACGTCTCAAAGCGCTTCGCAGAATGCACCGTGATGTGAATTGACTGTATATTTCGTGGACGCCAATTGCGCACGGCAGCGTCCCCACAAACAGTCGCGGATTGAAGTGACCAAATTATTATTACCATTATTATTATTATTATTATTATTTTCAATAGACAGCACCGTTCACGTCTGGAAAGATATGGAAACAGATGCGTCTCAATGGTCTCTCAACTCTGGCCTGCATTAAACCAAGACTGGGTTTCGTTTTGCTGTGCGAAACTTCAATCAGCTGCTCGGGAAACTCGATCGCATTTTGGCAGCCGAACAAACAAACACTCCCAGTCCCTATCCTCCTGTATCTCCCGATCTAAAGCAAAACCTGCCGGTTGGAAAATAAACTCTCCGCTTCTACGTACGAATTTGCTCGGAGAAAACAGACCAAGGTGCATCCAGTTCACTTTCCACCATCCCAGCAGTCGCTTGACATGCCGTGTCCCAAATGACTGTATCCCAAGATATTATTTCCTATAAGGTTCTGGCGTAGCGCCCGAGCTGGAGGTAGGAGCCAAGAGGAGGGGGATATACACTGTATCCCACTATATTATTCTATAGTTCTCCGAATTTTACATGGGAAACATGACCCAAGGTGACAATTCGCTGAGCGTAGGGTGTGTGTGTGTGTGTGTGTGTGTGAGCGGGGCGGGGGGGAGCTGGTGGGAATGGGGTGGGGGGGGGGTGGCTGGAAGGTTGAGGACAGCTCAAGATGGGAACGAGCTCACACGAGGGAAAGTGGGAAGGGGTGGGGGCGGTATCAGCACCTCAAAGCGTACGATGAACATGGGTCAGCACAGTGAGCGTCGGTTGTTTCAATGAACATTGCGTTTCGCCCACCTCGCCTCGCTAAACCTTATAGGGTGAGGAGGGGGCAAAAATGTCTCATTGAATCCTGCATATTTACAACCCCCCCAACCCACACACACACACACACACACACACTCTCTCTCCCCTTCACGGCATGCAGAGCAAGCATCTGTCCGGCAAAGCCAAGAGAAGCAAGAATTTTGACCGTCAAGAGAACTACCTACTGTACTGGTTCTCCTGGTGCATCCCGTTAATCTGTCCGTCGGACGTGATTTGCAGGTGAAACCCGATGCCCACGTTGCAATAAAGCCTCCTGACTCGCTTGATGCCAGTGTAATACTCCCTGTCCCAGTCCAGGTCAAGCCTCCGACCAGACACAGGGTGCATGGACCTGGAGAGCAAGGTTTCCCATCGCTCGCTGGCTCTGGGTGCAATCGGAGCCGGGAAGCCTATCCCAATCAGAAGGCCGAGGAGAACAACTGCACAGGTCCAGTTGTGAGTTGCCTGGTGGAACATTCTAATCAACTTAAACCGACACGTGGGTGAGGCATCAACTAAAAATAAACCCGTGCTTCTAGATTTCAGTTTGCCCAGTGATGCTCTTTATTTTCAGAGACCAGGTTGAAGTACTGCTGACACACAGAAAAAAACCTCTCACACACACGCGCGCGCGCCCTGGCTCGCTCAGTCGCTCACTCACTCACACACACAGTACATTAAATACAACACCTTTAAGACGTCCGATATGTCAGGGTGGGGTCGGGTCCCGATGGCAAAGGCAGGGTGGGGAGAGGGGAGGGTGGGTGAGTCAAGGGCGTAAATAAATAAACTTGGCAGCTCTTCGCTTGTCTATTCCAACCGCCTCCCCTCCCGACACACAAACTCACACCCACCCACACCCACACACCCACCCACGCACACACACACACACACACACAGAGTGATGTGATGTAACTCTTCTGGGCTCTTGACATTTGGAAACCCGGCTCCTGAGATGAGAATTTTTTTTAAAAAAAAACACAAGAGAGCGTCCGGAAGTGATTCTCTCGCTTGTGGGGGTTTGACGAGCGTTTTATTTCGGACGGGTGACCTGATGAATAGCAAACGTGAGGCTCGGAGCTGGGAGGGAGGGAACTGACCTAAATGGACCTCTCCTCTGACACGGCTCGGAAAAGAGAAGGGAGTTTCAAGCGCTCCGGGACACCACCCCTGCGTGAGGGGTGCTATATGAAACACAAGTTGTTGTCGTTGTTCCCCGCCCCCCCCCCCACCACCCCCGCTAACAATTCCTCCCTCCCCCTCAAGGAGATAAAATTCCATCGCTCGTACACCACCACGGTTTTTCGCCCGCAGAACGCACAGTCACTCCGCTTGACAGCCAGATCCTTTGAGAGCTTCTGACGACACGAAAGGTGCAAAGGGTTCACCTGTTTATTTACCCAGCGCCTTGGGACGTGAAAGGCGCTCAATAAATGGAATCTTGTTGTTGTTGTTGTTCGTAAAAGAGGCGAATTTTGGGTGGGGGTTTGCTCTCAAGGAAACAGTCTGCCTTTCTTTCTACCTGTCAATAAGCCCAAACATGCAAACGGGCGTAAGCGGACATACCGGGGTTGGGGGGGGGGGGACACAGTGGATCAGAGGAGCTCAACAGCAAGCCGAGAGCGCCCCCTACCGCCCCAGCTGGTATTTCCCATTAGGATAGGTTTGAGCCAAACAAATATGGACAATCACTGTGGACAATCGACACACACACACACACACACCAGGGAGGGAGGGAGGGAGGGAGGGAGAAGGGAATACAATAATCCCCACATAAATCGTATCAGTTGGGACCCTGCATTTAATATGACTCATGCAAAGTATGAGTTAGGTCAAACCCGCGTAGAATATAAACCCTTGGACGGGACTCGGGCAGATGTGTGACTTAGGGGACGGTGTGATTTATACAGATCCGATTTATGCCGGTTTTACCGTGTAGAAGAGTGCGGGAGGGCGTAAGGAGAGGGCGGTGACTCACAGGGAGTATAAAGCCTGGGGTGTAAACCAGTTGGGCCGAACGGACTTGCCGTGTGGCATTCCATGGTGAATCTATGTTGGTTTTGTTGCCTGAAGCTGCTGAGTTCTCGTATAGGGGCAAGACCTGAGAAAATGGGAGAACCATCTCCGACTTGCAACCACTGACTTCGCAAAGAGCAGCAAGGTCAAGCCGGCCTCTAAATACGGGGCTCAGAAATACCACCTCCAGCGTCTAGGTTAAATAACAAACTCGGATTACACACCGCATTCCACTTCCTGTCCTTTATTTCTGCCCTTTTCTCCTTCACTCACTCCGTCCCCTGCCCCAGCAACCAATGATCTCACACGATCCAATGAAGGCTTGCAACATGAGAAGGAGAGACGCAGTCAGGGCTGTCAGGAATATTCCTGTGATCTTCAGACGAGCCCATCTCCCCCTCCCTCCCTCCTCCCCTACTCCCATCCCACCCCCTAACCACGAGGACACGTGACTGCTGAAAGGGCATCTGTTTCCCACCCCCCCACCCCCCCCTATTATCCTGCCTTAAATTCCCCCTCCGCACCTCTCCTTAATAATAATCCTCGCATTCGATATTGCGCCTTCTCACGTCGTTGAGACGTCTCAAAGTGCTTCACATCATACCCTATACGGTGTAGTGACTGTATATTTTGCGTGGGCGAAACACGGGAGCCAATTGTGCACAGCAGTGTCCCAGAAAGTCGTCGATCGAGTGACCAAAATTATTATTGCCATTATTTATGGAGGGATTATTGCGATCCTTAATCCAAAATACCTTGGTGTAGGCAGGAATTCCCCCCCCAGCCCCCACCCACCCTTGTAACTCAGTGGCTTGGGGAGGGTCAATATGCATCTCTTTGCAGTTCAGTGCAGAGGCCGGCTTGACCTTCCTGCTCTTTGCGAAGTCAGTGGTTGCAAGTCGGAGATGGTTCTCCCATTTTCTCAGGTCTTGCCCCTATACGAGAACTCAGCGGCTTCAGGCAACAAAACCAACATAGATTCACCATGGAATGCCACACAGCAAGTCCGTTCGGCCCAACTGGTTTACACCCCAGGCTTTATACTCCCTGTGAGTCACCGCCCTCCCGCACTCTTCTACACGGTAAAACCGGCATAAATCGGATCTGTATAAATCACACCGTCCCCTAAGTCACACATCTGCCCGAGTCCCGTCCAAGGGTTTATATTCTACGCGGGTTTGACCTAACTCATACTTTGCATGAGTCATATTAAATGCAGGGTCCCAACTGTTAGGGCGTTAATTATAGATTTTGCTGTGTATTGTATAGGCAAACGCAGCCACACAATTGCACACAGCAACGTCCCACAAACAGCCATGGAGTGAGTGACCAATTTTATTTGGGGGACACCGGGAGAGAGAGAGAAATAGCACCGCGGGGTCTTTAACGTCCACCTGAACAGGCAGACGGTTTAACGTCTCGTCCTAACAGCACCTCCAATAATGCAACACACCCTCAGCACTGCATTGTAGCTTCATCTTCGACTAGGTGCGTTCAAGTCTTGATGTAGAATTATAATTATAATTATAATAACCCATCTCTTTACTGTTTAAAGAAGGTGGGGGGGTTGGTGGGGGGCTGGGAGGGGGAGCTTGTAGCTCCTGTGTTTACCTGCCTTCCTGCTTCTTCCGTCCAGGTTTGCAGATATAAACATCGCTGGTTTGGCTTTCAATCAATCAGTTCATTTATTACCAGTTTCCCAACTTCATTTCTGCCTTGCATTAAATGTACACTTGAGGGCACACTGACTGAGAGGATATGGGGGGGGTGGGAGGGGAGGGGAGGGAGTGGGGGGGGGAGGAGAGGAGGAGAGGAGGAGGGGGACATTAAGTTCCCATCATTGTTCGATCATGTTAAGATGGTACACGCAAACCTTAAGAGATCACCACGTCTCTGGTGATTTCAGTAAATGTTAAATTCCCAATAAGCCCGACTTGTTCCATCCGCAGTAAGTAAGAATCACAAAAACATCTTCACTTCCCTCGATACATCATGTGGTTGAACACAGTTATCTGTCCCTCGCAGGCAGTAAGAAACCCTGCATTCCACTCAGCCACAAAACCCACAGTATTCCCTGTAAAGCGCTTTGAGACATCCTCCCGGAGCGAAAGGCACTGCGCCAAAGCTAGAGCGTTCGAAATTGATACATCGCCTATGTCGCTGGAGTGCCTCCACAGCAAATTGCTGTGAACCGAACCTGAGCCTTTACGGGGAGATGCGTTGGCCAATTTCAGCACAAACCCGAGGCTGAATGGTCAGTTTCTCTGGAGGATCGTCAAACAAGGAGGAAGTAGATGAGGGTGCACCACAGCCTCGTCTGGAGGACGGCATCGCTTGACAACACAGAGCTGTTGGCGTTTGAGTGCCACGACCAAGGCCTTGAACCCACAACCTTCCCAACCCACAGACAAGCCCGTTACCAGTCGAGCCAAAGTGAGGCCCATTTCCCAACCCGGGTCTGCTGGACTCTTCAACATCATCGAAGATCGACTGCACCATCCAGCGCCTCAATGAGACTTAGGAAGTGTCAAGCTTCCCTCTGCGCAAGTTCCCCCCACCCCGCCCACCCCCCCCCCCCCACTCCCCCATCCCAAATCCGATACTAGGAGTTTGGAGAGGTGTACAGGGTGTCCACAATGTCCTCTTTACGCCCCTGTTATAAAACAGCCGTATGAGACTTAATGGAGGAGATGAAACAAGTTGTCGGTGATGCACTTCACTTCCTCACTCCATCCAACAACAACAAGATTACATTTGTATAGCGCCTTTCACGTCGGGAGGACGTCCCAAGGCTCTGATACGGAAAATGCGGCAGTGAACCTGGCGACGGAGCATTATCTGCCACGAAAATGATGGCGCTCACACAGATACTTACACTCACACACACTCACGCACACTTATACTCACACACTCACTCACTCGGATCCTCTAGACGTCTAAATACAGTTAAACGCTTGTAACTGAATACAATTACGATAACTACAATTATCTCCATTCTTCCACAACGTTTCAGTTGTTGGTCAGTGCACTGTAGAGAAATAAAACCGGAGGGGGGGTGGGGGGGAAACAGGGTTTTGTGGAAACCCTGTACAATCACAGACATATGGTGTCTCTCTCTCTCTCTCTCTCTTTCTCTCTGGGTGGCATTTCGGATGCCAAGCACGAAGTCTCTCTTCCCACATCCGCAGTTGGAAGTTTTCTCTATGGGGATAAGATCGTTTTTATGTGAGACCAACAAGATTAAACGAGACACGAAGAGACACGGGGGCAGAAGAGAGTCGGATTTTCAGCATGTTACATGGACGTTTATTGCAATCGGATAAATTATACAAGATTCAAGAATGTGGCGTCTTTATTAAAAACTTCCTTTTTTTTTTACATTAGTTTTGATATGTACATCTTATTGCTGGGATAAATAAATACCGCAGAGTTTATTGTACAATTCTTTTTTTTCCTTTAGGAGAGAGAAAACCCACAAACATCTTATCCAGTCACAGCTTCGTCTCCAACCAAACACCGTGAAGCAGTTTTACAATTTTGTTACTTGCGTTAAATTGCACGTTAATGTGCAGCAACGCAGCAGGTCAGAGGACCGATGCATCGCGCTGCAGGGGAGTGGGGTGCAGGTCAGACCCCTTCCCCCACCCCTCTCCCCATTCCTCCACCACCAAACCCACCCCCACCCCCCCTACCCCCACTCCCTCCCACCCACAGAGATCCTGAGTCAGGCACTGAACACACAGTCATTTTTTTGGGGGGGGGTGGGGGGGGGTGGTCAGCTGGGTGTCTGACGCAGGCGGAAACCCATCACCGTGCCTAAAGAGTCTCCAAACCAACCTGAGAATTCCTGGTATCCCACCCGACACGTGGAAATTCCAGAGATAGATTGTTGGAACGGAATGCGCACTCTCTCTCCCTCCCCGGAGGGGCACATCCCTCCTACCTAATTCCGGAAAATACTAGCCCCAGGTTGGCAAGTGCCAAGGCTTGGGATGAGCCCTAGAGTGCGCGTTGGGGTAACTGCTGAGGAGTCTCACCAGCTAAACCCGCATAGCACGCCATCGATAGCTCTGTCTGACTAGCTTTCCCACTGCTTGTCCAACTAGGACAACTCTCCCCCATTGGGGCTTTGGCTTCTAGGGCTAACGGAGGAGTATACGGGACAGAGAGGTGGTTTTGGCAAATAAAGAGAGAGGCCACCCAAAACCTAGCTGGAACATGACAAAGAACAGAGAACTTTAGAGCCAGTTAACCCTCGAGTTACAAAAACAGACAGCGCGATGAAGCATGCTCATTAGGAGTGAGTTCCGGATTTGGGCTGGGGTTGGGGCAGGGGTTCTCCTGAGCTAGACTGATCCCGCGCCACCAACTTCACGTCAAAAGATACTTAAATCCCGGAGAAAATGTGTCCAGGGACTCAAATCACCGTTTCCTTCTCCTTTTGGCGGCTCGGAGAGAGCTACATATTCGATGCTACTTTACATACCCGGTAGAACAACCCTACATTTATTGATGTACAAATATATATATATATATAATATATTTATATGGTAAATTCCTGATAACTCGTCGCTCTAAGGAAAATGGGCTCAGTAACAAGTTGTGCGGGCGGAGTGATGAGTTAGGTGTATGTATAAACACATAAATAAATGGTGTCAGGATACTGACGGGCTCGATGGCTTAAGCGGTGGTGACGAGTGAAGACTGGGGTCGAGTTACCAGGAGGTTACTGTATATATTGGGGGTTGGTGGGGGGGGGGGGGGGGTCTGATTTTTTAAAAAAATTAACCATTCGACTACCAGGCACACATACACACGCACACAAAAAATGCTTCAACTAATTCATCGACCTCAGGAAGGAAAACACAGACAAACACCCCAATGTTTGGATTTCAGCGTGATCGCCTGTCTCGGTTCGTACCTACAACCATTTGTAAAAATAAATAGCAAAGAAAAATACTTTCAATTCCAGTTGAGTTCAATTTGGAGAGCAGCTGAGTCAAGACAGCCCCTCCTAAACCTCCACACTCCCACTCCCCCCACCGCCCCCTCCCCCCACCCACCTCCGTAAAAGTGCCCATTTCACGACGTTTCAATTTCAAGCAAATATAAATATACAGTATATATTAAAAAAATACATTGTTAAAGAGATTTTAACAACGGCCGTGGGCCAACAAGGAAGGTTAAATCGACGTTACAACCACAAGGTTGGGCTTTGCTTCAAGGCGAAAGATTGGGGGAGGGGGGAGAAAGGGGGAAGGAAATAAAGCAAAGCCCATTTCATCGTGGTCACTCATTGCCAAACGTACCAGAAAGCCCAAGAGATTAATTCAGGAGAAATTAAGAGCGTGAGAGTGAGAGGACACATCGGCAACTCAAGAGAAGTACAAACTGGTTCCCTCCCCGACCATCACCCCAACCCCCCACTCCCCCTCCCCATTGTGTTGCCTCCTTGATCTCCCAACCTCAAGGGAAATGGATCCACTGATGTTTACATGATCGGAATTTAACAGGGGATGTGATCACAATTAATACCACGGGAACCGGGTTTGGCTTGAATGACTTATGGGAGAAGACAGAGTGAGAGACGGAAAAGGGAGAGACAGAGATAGAGACACAGTGTGAGAGAAAGAGAGAGAGAAAGAGAGAGACGCACAGACAAAGAGAGCTAGAGAGAGGGAGATATGCAGATTTTTTTAAAAATCACAGCTGTGTCATTTTCACACCTTGAATCGCTGCAATCTCACGTTTCCAGGCAGGAAATATTCAAGTATTCCTGAGATTTACTTATTATCCCTGGCAGGTTGATTGCAACCTGAAATTCCAATATAAGGTGAGCATTGGTTTTACCTGGACACAAGGTGCGGAGAGAGACAGAATGGGTGGAGAGAGCGAGCGACAGAGGGATAGATCGGAAAAGGGAGATAATAATAATAATCCTTGCATTTGAGCGCTTCACAGAATATACTGTAAAGTGAATTGACTGTACGTTTTGTGGGCGAAACGTGGCTGCCAATTTGCACGCAGCAGCGGATAACAAACAGTCATGGACTGAGTGACCACATTAGTATTATTATTTATTTTTTTTTGAAGGGATTATTACTCCTGAAAATCAGATATCAGAAAAGGGAGAGAGAGAGAGAGAGGGAGAGAGAGAGAGAGAGGGAGAGAGAGAGAGAAAATGGGGCAAAAAACAAGGATCTGAAAATCCTTCAGGCCTTCACGTCAGTAATGCCACTATTTTCACTAATAAAAACCCAAGAGAACAGTTAGTGAAGAATACAGCAGCTTCCATTGAGCTGGACTCCTCGCTGTTCCTCTATAGACTGAATAAAAACTGTCCCCTGTACAAAATAACAACTCTCTGTGGTATAAATACAGTATTTATAGACTTTTTTTTAAAACAGTTGCAAAAGTCAGCGATTTTAACAAAAATATAAATTTAAGGCAAAAAAAAATTGTTGGAAAAAATTCGAACCCCCACCCACCCCCCCACCCCCCCAAAAAAAATAATATACCATTTTCCCCAGATGAATTATACATTTCTATAATTTAGCAAATCAGTTGGGAGACTCCCAAGACGTTCTTATCGAGGTGAGTGATTATGGACATTATGGCGGCAATGGAAGAGATTAGAGCGAGATTTAAGACTTGTAGAGAGAGCGGAGGTGGGGGAGAGGGGGCAAGTGGGTGGGTGGGTGGGAGGGAGGTGAAGTCTCTGATTCACATCCACGCGTCAATCACAGGTGACCTGGAACGTGGAGAAACGAAGGAAGGAAGGAAGTTCCTTGACCTAAAGTGGTCAGATAGTTGGGATTGGATATGTACCCAAAAAAAAGGGTGAATTTTTCTTTTTCTTTCCTTTATTCCCCCGAAACCCCACAACTCGTCACATCCCACTCGGCAGCCTGGAGAATCCAGGGCCTATCCCACTGGACATCAGCCAACAGTCTCTCAGGCAGGTCTAGGCCGGCAATTAATTGGAAGTTGAATGAGAGTTGAATGAGAGTCACACAAGTCTCCCTGTGTAACCTTGCGCTGTGAGTGACCAGCCAAGGGCTCGAAGTAGAAAGATACCCGCCAAGATGGTGCCCCTGGGAGGCGGGTAAAAGTGTGACAGATGGCGAGGTAAGGCACATGGGCAAGTGCCCTTTGGTGAGTGAGAAAATCACAGAGTAACAGATGGATCGCACGTCAAGCAGAAATGTGCGGATCAGTGTGAGAAGCAAAAGCAGAAGAGTTCTCATTCTCCCCGTTGCCCCCACCCCCCACTCCACCCCCACACCCCCACCCCCACTCCCAATAAGTGGCAGATTCCATATGCTTAACCCCATCTCTTTCACCACCGGGCAACGAGCAGACAAACGTACAGTACCATTGGATGAGCCCAACCCAGAGAGAGAGATGGGGGGGGAGAGGAGGGTGGGTCCATAAAACGAAGGATCCCATTACCATCTCACCTCCAACATTCACCAACCTCCTCCCTCCCTCCCACGCCCGCCACCCCCCAAAAAAAAAAACCCACCGGAAAAGCACACCGCGTCCCTCGTCCCCGGATCACACCGAATACTTCTCCAGGTCGCTTTTGTCGAAAACGACGTTGGTGGCGAAATAGATTGCCACGGCCCCGAAACCGGCCGCCGAGACCATGTAGGCGTTGACCGACTGCGTGAACTGAACGATGGTTCCCATCAGGAGCGAGGGAATGACCTGAGAAAGGAGGAAGGCGCTGTCCAGGATGGCCAGGTCCAGGCAGATGCCCCTCACGGCGACCGCCTGCTCGCCCTCCCCGCAACCGCTGGTGCCCACGGGCACCTCGCACTGCAGGGAGCCGGCGAGTGGGGGGCCGGCCTTGCCCGCCAGAGAGAGCGAGGGAGAGGGCGAGGCGGGGGGGGCTCCGGAGGAGGACAGCAGGCTCCCGTTCTGCCCGGCGTACGGTTTGTGACTCACGAGACCGTTGGGTGACGGAGCCTTCTTGTCCACCTGGCAGCTGGCCTCGTCCAGCTCCGTGAACTTGTGCTTGGAAAAGAATACCTGGGGAAAGGAACAGAGGGGGAGAAGGGGTGAAGGGGCCAACAACAACAACAACTTGCATTTAATTAGCCCCCTTTCCTACTTACCTTAGCCGCCCACAAAATAGTTACATTTCGCCCACAAAATACAGTCGCTACACTTTACGGTATATCCTGTGAAGCGCTTTGAGACGTCTCGAAGACGTGATAAGGCCCTACATCAAATGCAAGGATTATTATTATTATATATTATTATTATTGCGATTACTCTGATCGCTGATCCTCCCCCTTCACCCCCCCCCCCCCACCCCCCCGCCCCCACCCCGTCGCACACCCACCTGTTTCTCTTTGTGGTAAAGGGAGTTTAAGGTGTAAGGTAGGATCTGGAGCGTGGAGTAGGTGAAACCCGTGAGTGCAGACATGATGGTCACCAGCACCACGCTCCGGGAAAGGCACATGACGACCGCGGAGAAGGTGAAGAAGGCAACGCTGGCGAGGTAGACGGTTTTGCTCCCGAACCTCTTCACCAGCCGGTCCATGATGGCGGAGCAGAAGATGGAGAAGGCGCACTGGAGGAAAAGCCCCAGGCTGCCCATGCGGACACCTGCGGTGGGTGGAGAAACCGGAGAGAGAGAGAATCGTTCAGGCGAGGCTCGTAAAAGTAATCGCAGACACAAAGACATCAGTTCACACGCAGGGTTACTTACACAGGACACGATTTTGTGGGATTATGTAACCCACACGCGCACGCACAAAGACAGGGATACGGGCACTAATAGGATGGTTAAAAGGTGAACGAGATGGATCTTGGCCTTTTTCCCTATGATGTTCCTACGATGCAATCCAACGCAGACTTACATTTACGTGGCGCCTTTCGCATCAGGAGGGTGTCTCAAAGTGCTTAAATAAGGCATGGAAACCGTTCACCAAGAGATACCAGCAGAGATACCAGCTACGTAAGGAATGGGCTTCAATGAGGCCTGAACGATAATTTGATGGTGGCCATTCATGTTTTGCCCCGTTTGCCCAACGCTGAGCCCGGCAGCGAAGCCAGGGTTTGTTGCGCGGAAACACACAACGGCAACACAGATAAGGTCCTGTGTGCAGCGCTTTGAGACGTCTCGACGACTTAATAAGGCGCTATAGCAAGTCCACGGGTTAATTATTAATTACTAACACCGTAACCACCCCTCAATTCCTGGAGATAACATGAGCTCAGATCCCCTCCACTCCCACCTCCACCCCACCCTCCACCCACACCTCCCCATGCAACCCCTCCCCAACACCCACCACCCCACCCCAAACGTACCTTCGTCGTATCGCACCCTGGCTTCGCTGCCGGGCTCAGCGTTGGGCACCCCGTGGTACAGCCCCTCCCCAATGAAGTCAGTGTAGAACATCATGAAGGTCATGAGCGCCATCCAGCTGTAGAACTCGGCCACCACCAGGTGCCGGATGACCTTGGGGATGCGACCGTAGAGAGGGTACAGCCTGGGGATCAAAGTGCAACAGTTCCTCAGGACGGTCAGCGAGTGCCTGGCCCGCCAGGAGGGGGGCCCCACGGAGCAGCAGTACAAGGCCAGGGGCTTGATGACCTCCTTGGGAGCCACCTCGACCAGGGCCTCGGGCTTGACACTGTAGATCTCCTCGGCCACGAAGCAGGTGGCCAGGACGCACACGATAAATATGACGGCCAGCAGCGTGAAGAGGCACTCCTCCTGCCCTCCCAGGTACAGTGACAGCGATGTCCTCTCCCAGTCTATGGCCGTGAGCAGGTAGCCGATGCAGCCGCCCAGGCTGATCATGAAGGAGTACATAGAGAAGGCCCGTCTGCAGTCTTCCGTGTCGTGGAACATGTCCGACAGGAGAGCCTCCAGGGGCGTGAAGCAGACCTGGCCGCAGAAGTCCAGCAGGCAGATACCGATGATGAGGAAGGCCACGTCGATGCGGTGGCCTTTGAGGCTGAAGACGGCCGCGAGTCTGCTGGCGTGAGGGATGACAAAGAGACTCAGGAGCACGCCGAGGCACAGCGCCCAAATGAAGGGGCGTCGGCGGCCATATTTACTCGTCCAATGGTCACTCTTTGAGCCAATCAGGGGAACAAATATAAGTCCCAGGACTGGCCCGATTCCTGCAGAAGAAGAGAGGACAGAAGTTGAAGGACATTGAGGGTCACGTTTTTTTCAAACAGCCTGGCTCAGCGGTTAGCATTCACGCTCTGAGTCAAACCCTAACGTAGGGACTTTGACCTCACATAGTCTCTCCAGAGTTTCTTTCTCCCAGTGTCCTACCCGACAATTACTAATGGTTGACGCTGTGAGTTGGTTCCTTGGCTGAAGGCTGGGGATTCAGACTGACGTGTCCTGGTTGCTTGTCTGGTGACTGGCCCACCCAGGCTGAGATTGGTTCCCAAGGGAAACATCCAGCTAACAACCTCGGGGACATGCTTCTAAGTTTCCTTCTCCTCTGCCAATTTTTTCCTCCTCCTCCTTCCACCCAGCCCCACTCCCTTTCTCTAATGAAAGGAACCGAGTCTCCACACAAACACAAGAGAGGTTACAGCTACCTCAGATTCCTCAACCCCCCCCACCCCCCAGTGGCTAATCTTTGTGTCTGAGGGTGGGCAGGTGACATCACAGCCAAAATATATTGGTTAGAGCGATCGCCTCGCAAGCGAGAGAACCCTGGTTCGATTCCCAGGCAGGGGGCGAAACATTAGGCAAGTTTCCTTACTCCACACACCTCTGTTTACCTAGCAGTAAGTAGGAATCCGCTTTTTAGTCAATTGGAGGATCCCTTTCCGGAGGTAATAATCCCTTCAAAATAATCAATAATAATAAAAAAAAGACTGTTTGTGGGGACACCGCTGTGCGCAATTGTCTGTCGAGTGGGAGGGTGGGGGGGGAATGAGGAAAGAGAGAGAGAGCCCTGCGTTGTTGTCTGTCGGAGGAGATGTTAACCCCCATGTCCCATTTACCTGCTCAGGTGAGTGCTGGAGATCCGGTAACACTCTCTCTGAAAGGAGAAGGGAAGTGAGAGGGAGGAGAAGGGAAATCCTACAGAGCAGATGGTCGCTCGAGTCAAAGCTATGTTTTTTGTGCGAGGCTCACTCAGCGATTTCCTTTCTTCTTTAATTGCCGTAATTATAGAGTGTAAATTGTTCCGACATGTTGTCGATTTGCAAAGGTCAGGTGGAGTGGGTAATGCTTTCTAGTGTACACTCATGTCTCGACCTTCCCTTCAGCTCTGGAAGCCACAGTTTCAACAGGAGCTGCCCAAGCCCAGGATTATTAGATCATGGCAGGTCCTCATATTCTACTGAAGAGTTTTTAAGGGGGTGAGATTAGATAGCGGCCGCCGATGATGGGGCGGGCAGGGCAGGGCGGGAGACATGGCACAGGCCGGTGCCCGCCAAATGGAGGGAGCGGACGGGTTGGTCTGGCATTAGGAGGTCACAGGAGTAGGGAGGAGCACGACTGCTTCAAAAGTGAGGGGAGTTTTAGACTCCCAGGACAGTGGAAGGGGAACTGGGTGGACCTCGGTCTTTTTTCGTCAAGCGAATGTTAAGTGCCCCCACCTGGGATTTAAACCCACAAACCCACGACATTCTGACCAGGATGGGGGGAGCAAGAGTGAGCTACAGACTGAGCCAGACCGACGCAAGCTGAAAAGTGCCAGAGTTACGAAACATCAGGGACTCACCCAAGACCATGGTCATGAATTTCTCTTCCACCCCAGCTTCCAGGAGGAGGGGAGGCACGTAGGTGATGCCGGCCGCCACGCAGATTTCCAGGCCGCAGGTCAGCGAATTCAACAGGAGCAGCTGGGATGTCCGCTGGGATTTCTCCATCGCATGTGCGTGTGTGTGTGGGGGGTGGGGGGGGAAGAGGGGGGAGCGGGGAGGGAGGGGGAAACGCAGCAAATAACGGGACGGGGTCGGGGGGAGGAAATAGAGGACTCGTGGAGATTCCCAAATCACAAAGTGCTAGAGTGGAATCCTTTCCCCAATGTCATTCTACAAGTCAACAAATGATCCGTCAAGCCAAGGTCCTGCTGAGTTTGAGTTCTGTACAATGTCCCGGGCTCCATAGCTCAGGCGTCGAGACTGCGGTCTGGCTTAACACACGGCCTGAGGCGTGGGGACACCATGTCCTTCTGGTGCTCGAGAAAACACTTCAGCTCCTTCCCAGCGCCTGGTGAATAAACGTCAGCGGCTCCCAGTCTGGGGGAGCAGGAAACAAAGAGACGCACAGGGTTTACCTCGACTGTAACAAGGTGTACCACAAAGTCCTCTTACCCCTCCCTTGATGCAAAACAGCGACCCATGACGACGGAAGAGCTGAAACAAGTGGGCAGACGCATTTGGCCTCCTCACTCCGTCCATCCATGTTTACGGATGACGGATAATGACGGATCATCATCTGCCATGAAAATGATGGCACTCAAGATCACACCCACGCACCCACACCAATCCTCTGGACGTCTAAGTATAGTGAAACACTTGTACTGAATACAAATAAGTACTTCTGAATACAATTGCCATCATTCTACCCACGTTTCAGTCGCTGGTCAGTCCAGTGAAGGAAAAAACAGAAGTGTTGGTGGGTGGGGGTGGGTAACAGGACTTTGTAGACACCCTGAATAACATGGAAACAGGCCACTCACTGCACGAGTCTCCATCACCATCCCTCCTTTATACACCTTTCTGTTTCCCTCCTCTGTCATGTGTGTATCGAGCTTCGTCTTAGGAAGATGGCATTAATCTCCTCAGCACAGACCTCCTCAGACATTCCAAACTTAACCCACTTTCAAGTCCTTCAAGCAAACCACGGTGAGCTCAGTCGATTGAGCAACTGGCAAGCGTGTGGGTGTGTGTGTGTGTGGTATGTGTCGGGGTCAGAGGGTTTCTTCGGAATCTTGGTGGGTCCAGTCATCCACACTTTGGTTAAAAACTCTAGACGTGTTAACTACTGCCTTATCTATCGACGCGTGAGGGTACCGTCATCAGTCAGAAGGGGCTCAATTTCAACTTTTACCTCCTAAAAATTGACTGATTAATAACCTGGCTCAAAAGGGCAGCGGGTTTGTTTTCAGGCCCTTCCTTTGTTTCCAACCCGGCTCCCGTTAAGCCCTCGACGTCCCACAGAACGGGCGCAAAATTCCGAGATTCGGGCCTCAAACGTGGAACAAAGTGAAGAATTCTCCATAATTCTCAGCCATCTTACCCTACGATGCAAATGACCTTGCCAGCACCCCCACACCCGGGGGAATTTCAGGCCTCAGATGTGGTTAAGGGCAGGAATGTTTGTGGGGGGCACAGAACAACCAAGGGTTTATGTTCCCTGGACTGGATTAAGAGAGACATTAACATACTGGCCCCAATTAACCTCCTGAAACCCAAACTATGAGCTGCTGTCTTCTCACTCTGCCAGCGGTATTTTTAGAATGCAACACGCCAATTGATGGATCTTGTGGTATTGGACACATCCGTAGCTTGTTTTGCTCAAATGTTCTCTCTCTCGCGCTCTCTCGCACCACGTTTTCTGCCTCGTTGTATTCAATGGATCCAATGGATTTCGTGCCTGGAAGCCTTTAAAGCGATGCTGACGATAATACAATGAATAATTCTTGTATTTGATATAGCGACTTCAGCGAGACGTCTCAAAGTGTTTCACAGGATATACTTCAAAGCGAATTGACTATATTTTGGGATGAACCGCAGCGGCTAATTGTGCACAGCAGTGTGCTACAAACAGTCGTGGATTGAGTGACCCAAATTATTATTACTTATTGATTTTTGGAGGGATTATTACCCCCGAAAAAGCGATCCACCTACCGACTAACAACCGGGTTCCTACTTACTGTTCGGTAAACAGAGGGTGTGGAGTAAAGAAAACTGCCTAAGGTTTCACCCTGCCAGGGAATCAAACCCAGGTCCTCGCGCTTGCGAGGCGAGTGCTCTAACCACTACACTACAGGTCTCTTAGCCGGAGCAAGACATCCACTCAGTGAGAGCGAGCCCCACCTCAGCAGCCATGGTGATGGCTATACCTGGATCAATAAGACTAATGAGTTCAGGAGGAAGCAAATGGAGCAGTAGTTAGGTGCGGTGATGATATGCCACTTGCCTTCATATGAGAGTACTTTCAATGAGCCAACAGGATATTGGGGTGGCTGCCAGAATTAGGCACCATACCTCAGTCAAACAAATAGAACATTATGTTCAATCGTGTTGCCGTATCTCACAGCAAAGAAAGAACCTGCGTTTTTAACGCACCTCATTGCGTTAATGAGGTGCGTTCAAAGTATTTCACGGGTGACCGTTGCCAAGTGTAGTGACTGTGTGCTTTGCAGGCAAACAGTACTGCATGGCAAACAGCCGTGATGTGAATGACCGATTAATCTGAAGGCCTCGATCTTCCTGATGACCCGTAACAGTTGTTGATTAACTCGTGTGTAAAGACACCCGTGACAGAGCAGTGCTTCCTCACGCCTGTGTTGTCAGCCTAGACTGTGAGATCAAAGCAGGTTGTATCTTTATGAGATCTCTTCTGTGGAATCTCTTATCATTATCAAGGTGTGGAGTCCTGTAGCTCAGTGGTTAGAGCACTCGCCTCGCAAGCAAGAGGACCTGGTTTTGATTCCCGGGCAGAGTGAAACGTTGGTCAAGTTTCCTTACTCCACATGTCTCTGTTTTCCAGGGAAAAGCTTTCTTAACAAAATGATAAATTGGTCACTTCAATCCACGACTGTTTGTGGGACACTGCTGTGCACAATATATAGCCAAAACTTTGCTAGTCATTACTCAGTCCTCTAACTTTGCAGCATCAGCATTGATCTCCTCCACTCTCCTGCCTCTATATCACTGGGTGTCCATTTATAGACGGGAGAATATCTTTGTTGTTGGAAGCAAAGGAAGCTGTGAATCAACACAGAGTGGGTTTGTTGAGTTTTCGGTGAATGTGGATATGCTCTAGTTAAATAAGATTGTGTACGTTTGTCTATTTTTAATCGGCTTTTATTGATTTATTGCGAAACAGGCTGTGAAAAAAATTGTTTCCAAATGAATACATGGGTGGAATTTCCCTCCTTCAACCGCCCTCCCACCCCCACTCCCTCAGCAAAAATGAGACGAGAGGAAAGACAGAAAGAAAAGAGGTTGGATGTTTTACTGCACCAAACCACGTGGAAACACCTCAAAGCATTTACCAGCCAATTACACTGTGGGTGCAGAACCTAGAAAGAGACCATTAAACCTGTACAGCCACCAACCCCTGAAATTCCCCCATGGTCTCAGCCTTAACACCAACCAATGCTCTGAAAATTCAGATTGGTGCAGAGTTTTTGGAAAGTACTCAAAAGTCTATCAGGTCTTGACCCAGAATCCAGGTTCCATCCTAAGGCTCTTTAAGAGCCGGCTTCTAAACTAGGACTGAATCGAAAACATTCGCATTAATTAGTGGGTTAGCGCCTTTGTCAGTGGCCAACCTGTGGCCCGCGGGCCAGATGCGGCCCACGAGACCGTCAAGAAGCTCCCCTTCCCCCCCACCCAAATACTCGCACAAGTTTACGCAAGTTTGTGTTCGATCGATAACGTGTTGTCATTTTTTCTTGACTATTTCTTGGTTCATGCCATAAATCAAGAAAAATTCAATCAAGAACATTTATTTTATTGGACGACCATAAAAGGCGGAGGAAGGAAATATTAATAATAATCATCCTTGGATTTGATAATAGGGCCTCATCAGGTCGTTGAGACGCCTCAAAGAGCTTCACAGGATAATACTGTAAAGTGAATCGACTGTGTATTTTACGGGTGAAACGCGGCAGTCATTTGCGCACAGCAGCGTCCCCACAAACAGTCGTGGATTGAGCAACCAAATGATTATAATATTTATTTACTTTGAAGGAATTCTTACTCCCGGAAAGCAATCTGCCAATCCACCTGGACCCTGGGAGATGGAAACTACGGTTTGGTTCCGGTTCTGGGAGAGAAATCAATCACAAAGTCTTCACCTCCTGGGTCAGGTCAGGTGTAACAAAGCGAGAGAGAGAGAGAGAGAGGAACGAGATCATTTGGCAAGAGTAAATTCCCACACACGTCAAAGTTTTTACCCGTGGGATACCAGTCTCTCGGAGAGGCTGAGCTCTCTCACAGAAAGCAGTGGAGTGAAGCGACCGTTAACAGGGGCGAGGGAAAGGTAGAACCTGCTGTAATCGTGGTTAAGAACAATCCACAATGGCCCATTACTCGTGCTTGTGCGTTATCAAAAACAACCATTTACGTGTCCAGAACACATGTCGCTGCTGGTGATACAAGAATAATAATCCTTGCAATTGACACTGCACCTTATCACGTCTCAAAGCACTTCACGGAATATTACTGTAAAGTGAATTGACCGCATGTTTTGTGGGCGCAAGGCGGAAGCCATGTGCGCTCAGCAGCATCCCACAAACAGTCGTGGATCGAGTGAACACCTTTTTTTTTTGAGGGATTATTACTAACGGATACACCCCCGTGCGCAATTGGCTGCCGCGTTTCGCCCACAACATCTACAGTCAATTCACTTTCCAGTATAGTATTTGATACAAATACTACATTGATCTTGGTTACCCTCTTTCCCCCACAACCCCACCCCCTGCCCTCCCCGATCCCGACCCCCCGGCTCAGGTCCGAAACACTGACTGTCCAGCGCCTTGGGACGTCTTCCCGACGTGAAAGGCGCTGTACGAATGTAATTGTTGTTGGTTGTTATTCTGTGAAACGCTTTGAGGCGTCTCGAAGACGTGATAAGGCGCTGTATAAAATGCAAGGATCATTATAGGATTATTATTATTGAACCCACAACCTTCTGAC